CGCTTTCTCTAAAGTAGTAAGTTTCCTTATGCACTGCTGGAAGGGTCACCTGGGTTTTGTGCAGAAGTGTTTTGGATTGGTATGAAATGGGGGACCTGCGAACTTTCCACGCTGAGATACTCCACTTGGATGAAAGGGAGAGGAGGACTGCATTAAGTACTAACCTGTTGCAGAGGCACTGGGCTTGGCAGACCTCATGGCCCCAGGAGCTTTATGCATGTGTCTTCGCAGTATTGCACTTTCCTGGGGTTAGTAGCAGTCAATTTTATGTGTAATGATCCAGACCAATTAGGAAAGGCATCCTGTTCTTATGTAGAACAGTGGTTTGCCACTTAGGGCAATGCAGAATAGCTAAAATGTCCCTAAAGTACTCTGTTTTGATTAAGAAGCTTTACCTTATTTGAACATGTGCAGACTAGTTCTATCCTTTAGAAATTATTTGAGGTAAAATTGTTTGCATTATACAAAATTGTGTGCCTAAGTGGCCTCTCTTCCATTTGTAGTTCCTTGTAAAGAGGTTGATTCTTCCATCTTTGCCTCTAGCAGCACATACTTTTTAAACTGCTTTATCTGAGTTCAGACTGTTAGAGATTCCGGGCAAGAGTGAAAACAAATTTTTAAAATACCTAGAAAGAGTTTAATAAATACAAGGACTCTGGGGAGGGAGAGAGTTAAAGGCTCATGTGTGTGACTTGTTTTCCTTTCCCCCCAAAAAATGAAGAGAACAAGCTCTTAAATACAGAGCTGCATTTTTATGTGATTGTGATCCTGAACCAGTCCTCTTAGGGGTTGATGTGGTATGTGTTGTTAGCTTTTCCAACCATTTAGATAGGCTTTTGTTTTTATTGTTGGTCGCTGTAAGAATTCCAAGGAATAGAAAGATCTCTTGGGCAAAATCAATTTGCCTTTTCTTCTGTACATTTGTTAATTTATAGCAGCTTCCATTTCCCTCTCATTTTCCAAAGTTGAAATGCCTTTAATCACACTCCATGTGCTCCTTCTTCTCGGAAGCCAGAGCAGAGGTTCCTTTCCTCTCCCTCATAACAACGTAATTGGAAATTTGGTTACTGTACTAAATTGTAAATTTTGGCACTCCTGCGAAGCAGCCATCCATCTGCTGGCGAGACACACTGCCCCGGGCTTTTCAAGAAATCCCTTAATAGTCCTGAACACATAATATTTATATACATTGAGATGAGACAAAATTTACAGCAGGCTTCTGGGGCGGGCTCCAGGACTCTTAATCCCACACTTCCTCATGCTCTCCTGCCTGCCTTCCGGAATCCTCTTGGAGGGGCCTTCAGCCAGGGGAGCACTGGCTTGGCTCCTTGGAGCAACCACTTACTGATGGGGTTTGTCCTTAGCAAACAAGTTGCCCATCCTTCCTGCCTCCTCTCCTCGCCATCACACCCTGTGCCTGTTCCCCTTCAGGATACAGATGCATGTTTGTGCATACTTTGCATCACGTAACATAAAGGAACCCATTGCTTTGGGTTCCCTTTAAGAGGAATTGTTGTATCTACAAAGAAGATGATCCTGCCGACTTTAAACGTTCCTGAGATTCATTTGGAAGTAGCTCCCATTGCTTGCAGTAACCCTGACTTCCCTGGCCTGCATGTTGTCTGTGGCAGGATCTGACTGAGCCAGACAGCTGGGTCCCTTCCATCCTCCCTTTGGGAGGTCTCAGTGCACTCCTGCTCAGACCCTCTCTTTTCCATGAACACGAGGTGGAAATGCAAGACCTGATAGGTACTTGGTCAAGTATTTGTTTATTTTCCTTTCCCACCCCGGGAAAACACACAACACTTACATTTGGATATAACTAATTGTGAGCAAGTCCTCAGGGATGTTTCTGTCCTTCTAGATGCTCTTGAGTTCTCACTGGCTTCCATAGCCATTTGATTTTGGTGTCTATTATTTGTCATTTTTATAGCATTTTCTTTATATTGTGAGGAAAGGGAGGTTTCTGCAGTTAATACTGGTCCCAGCTACTCTTAGATGGTGATTGTATGATTCCTAACCAGTTTTCCCTCCAACCACAGAGCAGGGTGACAGGATGGGTGAAGAGCAGCCCTGTGTGCAGCGGGTGCGGTGTGCACCAGCCTGTGCTGCTGGTACACATCTGGTAAGCAGGACTGTGAGCTTCATTTCTGCAGCCAGTTTATTGAACCTCATGGATCTGTTATATTGTGTGAGTTTTGTGAGGACGACATAATAGGTTGTGAGTCTCCCTCTCCTCTTACCTGGTCCCTCTCCTTCCAGCTCTGTTCTTTCTGATCATTATGCCCATGGTTCTGCTGCCAGATGAGCTTCCTGACATGAAAATCTTACCCCTGCCTGAAACCTTCATTGCCACCTTGAGCTGGCCCCTGCAGAACCCCTTTCCCTCCCAACATCAGAGACCAGTCACCACAAGCACCCAGTCCTTCAGCTGCAGCAGCTTGTTTGCTTTTCCAAGCATTTACATGTGATTCTGTCTTTGGTGTTCTCCATTCTGTGGGACTTCCCTGGCAGCCGGGGGCCAGGAAATACCATCCAATTCTAAGTCTGCTTTACTTCTCTGATGCTGCATCCTTCCCTGAGGATGGGGACCATGGCTGGTCCATACATGCATTGCATCTGTCCGCACATGGGTGCAGCACGTGCTAGATAAATAGTTATTAATAGATCAGATGAACTTAGACTCTGCTGTCATCCATTCAGAAATCTGAAATCAGAATATGCAATTTTAGTGTTTCTTTGCATCTTGAGCCTTGAAGTGATCTTAGTAATGGATGTATTTGAAATTAAATATTCATTTAATGTGCTTTATTTTTCGATGTCTTTGAGTGAGAGATTTTATGTTGAGTGTGTTTGCTGCAACTCTGCTAGGCTTATAAATTAAGTCCATGCTACTTTCTCTGAGACAGTCAACATTAGTGGACAGTATGTGTCCCCAACATTTCAGGAGTTCCTGCAGCATTTTCTGTGTTACTGTGCTAATGGGCAGTGAACTCCTTGTTATTTGCCAGATACGTTAGTGTTCTCAAGTAGCCAGAAGTCCCTAAGCGCCAACTCTGGTGAATAGGATGACATAAACCAACAGGAATGGTCTTCTTCACTTACACATAGCTCTGGTGTGCCTCACTTGGGTTACTTCAGTCGCAGTGACAAACAGTAGTCATTGAAATAGAATGAAAATTTGTTTCTTCCACATCTAAAAACATCCGGAGTCTACTGTACCATCCTTAATGTAATACCTGATGGTCCAAGATGGCTCCATGAGCTCCTTGCATTACTTCTGTAATCCAGCCAGTGAGAAGAAAAAAGAGCATTTCCTCTCGGTTTTAAGGAGTTTCGCAGGAAGTTCCAGTAAAAAAAAAAAAAGTTGCATATATCTCACCAGACAGACCTGAAGATATGCCGCTACTTCTACTTAACATTGTCAAGGGAGATCACACTATGCTCAACTAAAAATTACCAAAGAGCAAAAGAAGAAAAATAACGAGAAGTAATCTGATGTTTCTGCCAAAAGATGATTTCAACGGAGAAAGTTACAATATTATTTTAAGCTTGACCATATCAGGACAATTCATCAGTTTTCTTCAGAGGTGATACTGTTCGTTTGAATATCCAAGTTCTGATGTCTGTTTTTAAATTCACCTGTTTGCAGTGAAACTGGAGCTCTTGTGCCCCTAGATGTGTAAATTGGTGCAGACTTTCCAGAGAACAGTTTGACTCAGCAAGGTCAGTTTGGAAATTGATCCTAATAGAATATTAAGACTGCTCGTGAAGATCACCGGACAGATTGAATAATAAAAAGTTGGGAATAGGGAAATGTCTAATAATGGGAGACTAGCTGTAACTTAGGTTCAACTCTACTGTGGGATGCGATGTTACTGCTAACTGGTTGCGGAATTCACAGTCTATTTTAAAAGTGCTTTCAGAATGGACTTTTTATAGGTATTTATATTTATGTGCCTGTGCATGTGTGTTAGAAAGGACAGGGGAGGGTGTTAACAAAGGAGCCATTTGTGGGCAGTGGACCTGCATGTTCTTTACATTTTCTCTTCTTATCTGTGATCTCTGATTCTTTTTAGAGCTTGTGTTTTTTTTTTTTTAAAGGATAGAATCTTGACTCATTATTGCATGACAGAGTCAGAAATATACATTTGAATAATTTTGCATTGTTTTCCAACTCAGGAAAGGAAAAAGTAGGACATGTATAATGCAAACCAGATTTCATATTTTGTTGATTTATACTTTATTTACGAGTAAGGCAAACAGCCCACAGAGTGTGATCATTACAGCATTGTTATGGAAATAAAAGCCAGCTCATCTGTTTGGGACGGGGATTGTGGGTCTGTGGTTATTAGACTCCGCTTTTGCCTGATGTGAGCACAGAAGGGTTTAGAGGAGGTGGTCTTGGATATCTTGTCCCCTGGACTCAGACACATGCACACACACCGGCTCCTCCCCGTCGTGACGTCTGTTGCTGACATGATGGCTTGTCAGAGGTCTGGTAGGCTAGGAATACAGCTCTGTGGTAGAGCACTGGGAGGCCCTGAGTTCAGTTCCCAACACGGGGGGGGGGGGGGACACATAACTTTTATTACAGGCTACTGTTATAATTGTTCTACTTTATTATTAGTTTTTTATCTCTTATTGTGCCTAGTTTAGAATTTAAACAGTCATAGCTGTGTGTGTTTAGGGAAGCATAGTGGGGTTCAGTTATTCTCTAGGGGTCTTGGCAGGGATCGCAGGGATCACAGGGATACCGGGTCCGCAGTGTTTGGAATGCAGGCAGCACGGTGCCTTTTGGAAACCTAGTACACCATGTTGTTTATGGGGGGCTTCCTCCTTCACCTGCACCTTGTGGCTCCTCCCAGACCAAGAAAGGAGTGCAGAGGAGAGGCTGGGCCCGGCCTGTCAGCTCTGCCCTCGCAGCCCACGGTGGGGTGAGGGGACGCTGGGTCTGGGGTGTCACCCATCTCACCCGCTGACCTTCCTTCCGCCCACAGTGTGCCCAAGCGCCTGCGGGAAGCGCGCGTGCACCGAGAGCAACGAGTGCTGCCACCCCGAGTGCCTGGGCAGCTGCCGCGCGCCCGACGACGACACGGCCTGCGTGGCCTGCAGACACTTCTACTACGCCGGCGTCTGCGTGCCCGTCTGCCCGCCCGGCACCTACCGCTTTGAGGGCTGGCGCTGCGTGGACCGGGACTTCTGCGCCAACATCCCCAATGCTGAGAGCAGCGATTCCTCTGAGGGCTTCGTCATCCATGACGGCGAGTGCATGCAGGAGTGTCCCTCCGGCTTCATCCGCAATGGCAGCCAGAGGTCCGGGGCTGGGCGGGGCGGAGGGCCCTGCGGCGGCCATACTTTGCCTTGTCCTTTCCTGTCCTTCTCCTTGTCCTCTTTCGCTTCTCTTTTTCTCCTCCCCCTCCCCCTTCTCCTTTTCTTCCTTCTCCCCTCCCCTTTCTTCTTCTTCTTCCTCTTTTTTTTTTTTTTTTTTTTTTTTTTTTTTTTTGGTACCGGGGATCGAATTCAGGTCCTTGCGCTTGCGCAGCAGGCAGTGAAACCGCTGAGCTAAATCCCCAGCCATCTCCCTTCTTCTTTTGCAGTACTGGGGACTGAATCCAGAACTTTCACACTGACCTGTATTTCCAGCCATTTAAAAAAATTTTTCGAGACAGGATCTCACAAAGTTTCCCAGGCAGGACTCAAACTTGTGATCTTCCTGTGCTGGTATTACACCTGGCCAGGACTACTTTTTTTCTTTTTCTTTCTTTCTCTGAGCTCCATCCCCAGTCCTTTATTTATAATTTTGAGATAGGGCCTTGCTAATTCACTAAGTTGTTCAGGCTGGGCTCCAACTTGTGAGTTTCCTGTCTCAGCCTCCCAATGAGCTGTAATTACAGGTTTCTAGGAGCAGCTAGAGTTCTTTTTGTTCGTTTATTTGTTTGTTTGTTTATTGGAGGGTACTGGGGATTGGACTGGGAATACATGGTGAAACAGAGCCATTTACCTCACGTCCAGGAATGAGAGACAGAGAGCAGAGAGAACAAAGGGAGGCCCACTGTCCCTTCAAGGACAGCCTGCAGTGACCAGAAGACCTCCCACTAGGCCCGACTCTTCAGGTTTCCACCACCTGCCAGTGGCATCCAGCAGGGCCCCAAGATTCCACTTTAGCACATTCTTAGCGTGTGGAGCGCTGTGTCCTTGCACACCTCGGACCTAGAGAAGTGCCCGGCATCAAGGAGTGGGTCGGCCACAGTGGAGACATCGCCTTCCTCCGGGGCCCTGGCGGGGAGGGGCAATGGTCTGTGGTCTCAGTGAGGTGTCATCTCTGACCTGGCCGTGCAATTTCTCAGGCTACCTGGAGGCCTGTGGTTCTTCTGCAGCTACCAGAGTGGGAGCAAAGTGAGAACCTGGCTTCTCAGTGTTGTTTTCTTCCCTTGTGGCACATTTAAAGAATCGAGCCATTGTTTCTCCTGCCAGTTCTTAACAGTCGGTTCAGAAATGCAGATCTACCTTTTCCGTTTTAAAATAAAACACTATCAAAAAATAATAAATAACCCCCTCCCTGCCTTTGAGTCCTATTTAATACTTACTTTAAGATAGTTTTAAAATACTGTTTATACTCTGTACCAGAATGAATTTGAGGAAGTTTAATCTATAAATATGTAATCAAAACACTTCCTTGCAAAACCATTTTTAAGTGCTAGATGAATTCTAGACATTTTAATACAGGGGTGTGTGTAGCTCAAAATTTTCTATTTGAAAAAAAGTTGGAGGGAAGCTAAACATTACAACCTAGCAGTAGTAACCCTGGACATCCCTCCTAGAGAAATGAAAACTTATGTCCACACAAAAACATGCACACAGTTGTTCATTGCAGCTTTATCTGTAATATCCTGAAACTAGAATGACTTTGCTGTCTTATAAAAGGTAGATGGTAAGGTGGGCTATGGTATACCCACACATATGGGAAGATCACTAAAGTGTACAAGGAAACAAGCTACGGAAATACATAGCAATGTGGATGGATCCCTAGGACAAGATGCTATGTAAAGAAAGCCAATCTCAAAAGATCCCCATACTATATGATTTTGTTATACAACATTCTCAAAATGATAAAATTATAGAGATGGAGAACAGATAAGTGGTTGCCAGGAGCTAAGGCTACGGGGGCCCAGGGCAGGGGGAGTGGCTGTGAATGGGTCACACAGAGAGATGTTAATCGTACTGGGGACCACACAGGTCTGTGTGTCGTGCCGGTGTTAATTTCCTGGTTTTACCATTATGTAAGATGTAGACATTGGAGGAAATTTGGTGGAGGGTTCATGGGTCCTAACATTTTGTGTCTACAGTTATTTCAAAATAAGAATTTTTTAAAGGGAGGGTGAGAAGGCTTATATGGTATTTGGGTAAATAAGAAACAACAGAAAATTAAAGGAAAATATAGAAAGGAAGCCACTCCCTAGGCTGGAAACGAGAATGTTGAGTGTGATATTAGGGGAAAGAGGACTTCCCCCGTTTGGGTAGATCCAGTTCCTGCAGGACCCCAGCATGAAATAGGACGATGCCAAGAAATTTTGTTTACCTGTTAGCTTTTAAGCATAACAAATTCCATGTCTTTGCCCATAGATGTAACATTTTAGGGGAGAGGAAAAGACTTTAATAAAAACAACTCTAACTTACACACTTTTTCTTACTTTTTTTTTTTTTTGGTACCGGGGATCAAACTCGGGTTCTTGTGCTTGCACAGCAGGTGGCGAAACCCCTGAGCTAAATCCCTAGCCCTACATTTTTTATTTATCTTCATGACGCTTAGAAAAGACCATTAAACAACAATAATTTAAATATAGTGGCTTTCCAACTTCCCATTTGATTACACACAGATCCCGTAAGGTTGTATCATTTATCTTGTTTGGAAATTGACCCAGCATTATAACCCTGATTCCATACATAGCTATAGATCCCAAAAGTTTAGCTGCTGGATTTCCATTTTGTCTTGTTTCCTAAATAATGGTAGATAAGCAGGAAAAATGCCGTCTTCTGTGTCCCTGACTTGGTGGTTTGTGGTGTATTCAGGATAGCATTTGAAATAGGAACTCGTTACAAAGTAATGAAAATGCCTTGCTTTTATTGTACACGCAGCAGAAACAACATTTGGATCAATTTACAAGTTTCTGCAAAACACTGTCAAAAAATAATTTCAGTTGTGCTTTAGCAAGAAAATAATGGATCTGTGCTATCCCACATGCCTTCTAGAACCCCTCACTGGGATTTACTGGGATACTAACCTCAGAAGTTAGACTCCCGGTAGTGGCAAAGACATTGCAGTCCTGTCACTGTCCCTTCCACTTCTCCAGACTTCTCCTCTGAGTGTGCAGCAAGGGCTGCATAGTCAGAGAACAGCCTCGTTCTCCTCCTGAGCCACCAGAGCCCCCTTTCTCTGAGTCTATCTCCCACATGGAACCAGCTGGCTCCCCAGTTAACAGCCTAGAGTACACACATGCTTCCAGGATGGATGCTGTATTTTGTCTGGAAACAAGCATTGTGTTTTTCCTTTGTAGCCACTTTCCCCTTTTGGTTGCGATTGGAACAGCTTATCCTGGGTGGGCTTCAGTATGAGATGCCATGTGACCACTTGAGCACTTCAGAACACTTGCTTTTTGTAACGCATGCTATAATAGCAACTAGAAAGCCTGTTTACAGTTCTGTAATGCAAGAAGACAGACTCAATTCTCTGTGGTTTGGGTTGCCTCTTTATCTTCCACAGCATGTACTGCATCCCTTGTGAAGGTCCTTGCCCCAAGGTCTGTGAGGAAGAAAAGAAGACGAAAACCATTGACTCCGTGACTTCTGCTCAGATGCTCCAAGGGTGTACCATCTTCAAGGGGAACCTACTCATTAATATCCGACGAGGGAGTAAGTATTCCAGTGGACCAGCGGCTGCAGCCTTGGTTTTCATTTGTCAGTACGTCTCGTGATCCTGTCCCTGAGTCACAACTAAAATACGAGCTTGAAGAAACAACATGGTGCGTAAGTCTCATACAAGATGTCTCTTCTTTGAGTTTCCCTCAAAGGTAAAAACACAGATTGAAAGGCAATCTGTGTGTAAGCTACTGGTACAGTTTATTCCTATAAAAAGGGCCATCCCTCATCTTTCTATTAGTCACATCTTGTGCAGGAGAGGCAGGCCCCAACACACATGAAACCCAGAAGGGACCATCGAAGTAGAGGATGACTCACCTGCTCCTACTGTAGCCAGATCCCCACATCTTTAAGGCCAGAGAATTTTGATTACTCACATGTATTGGAGAGGCAGAGTAAAGGGAAGAGTTTGATGTTGTCATGTCTGTATCTCATGAAGGCCAGGAGAGGGGTAGCTCTCACACCTTACTTTTGGAATCCATAAAGATGCAGTGATGTGTCATCACATACATAAAGCTTCAGTCTTGCCCCATAGAATTATCTTTGTTTTCAGTAGATGGCATTTCTGGTAAGTGGCTTCCAAATTGTGTTTGTGCAAAGCATTATGCACTGATTCTTTTCCCTTCTCATCTTCGATTGACAAGGGCTTTTAGCAATGATGTCTTCAGTTCTCTACCACTGGGACTCCGGGGTCAAGGTACTGATAGTTTTGTCAGCTAGAAGAAAGAAAGGAAGACCTTGCAGTTGAAAGGAAAATTTTTGTTTTGGTGGATCCTTTTGTAAAGAACTTTTTAGTTTGAAGAGAAAAAAAGGACTAGCATATTTATTCTGTAAATTTATTGTTCCTTAATATTTGTCAAATGAGCAAACTATTCTTATGGTTTAGAAGTAGCAGAAACAAGGCTGTGTATAGTTCTTTTGAGTTAATTGAATCCCTTTTTTCATTTCCCAGCCCTCCATGACAGAAACAACCCTATTCCCCATTAGAACTCCTCACCCTCATAGTACTTCTAAAGTTATGCTCCTTTTGCTTCTACTGCATTTATTTTACTTTCAACTTATACATCCCTAGAACATATCTTATAAGTAGCTAAAGTTTCTTTTTTAAAACAATCATTTTATCCTAAAGATAAAAAAATTAATCTATGAATTAAATCCAAGGAGAAGCATCATTTGAGAAGGAACTGGTAAATATTCGTGCATGATGTGGAAGTGTATGTAGGGTAATGGGACATCTTGTCGAAGGAGTTTCCCAACCCTTGACTAAGAGGCTCACTGCTTGCCCCACTTAGATTTCAAGATCTTGTTCAGAAAACATCAACTACAAACAGCCTCTCCTCTTTCCAAATTGAATTTTCCCTTAATTTTTCATGAAAAACCTTTAAATGTAAGACCTTATCCTCCAAGAAAACACCCTGTTCATTTATTCTTAGCAAAACGGAGCCTTTTATTAAGTAATCCTCTATAAATCATATGAGGTAAAATCCTATTCATTGAACTGTGCCTAACTAAAGTCTTTATAACAATTTTGACAGAGGTCAAACTAAAGTTTATGTTTATTGTTTGCCATGAGAAAAATATAGGCTAACAAGATTAAAGGAAATGCACAGTTTCTATGTGATTGTTTTTGCATCTGTTTTAGCAACTCTTTTTACAACTCTTTTCTAGTTATGAAAGTAATACATGATCATTATAGAAAACACAGAGATGTAGGAATGGCTTTTTAAAAAGTATCTGCAGGGCACTGCCTGCTTTGCAAGCGCAAGGTCCCGAGTTAGAGCCCCTGTACCAAAAAAAACCCAAAAACTATCTTCAGGGCTGGGGAGATAGCTCAGTGGGAGCATGCTTTCCTAGCATGTGTAAGGCCTTGGATTCAATCCCCAGTGCTTCAAATAAAAGGAAAAAAAAAAATCAGCTGCAGATAGCCATTGTGCATTCGGTGTGTTTTCCTCCAGTCTTAGTAAGATGGAATCTTTAAATATAGATTCTGTATCTTAGGAACTAGAAACACAGCAAAGGCGGTTCCTAATGAGACCAGGAAAATGCTGTTTATTTAGTCATGCCCTTGCCCTGTGGAGGCAGTCCTGTCTGTTGACAGAGCATATTAAAAGACGTTCCCTAGATTTGTCAGCCTGAGCTAATTGGCAGTCTGGTATTTATGATTTTACATTCTGCTCATCAGCCTGGGAACTGCAGTACCCAGACTCCTAGAAATTTGCTTTCCCCTGGCTCAGAAGTCTTGCCCAGGAGTGGCTGTTGATAGTCAAGATGAAAGAAGTGTGTTTTTAAACAAGGGATGGTTGGTCCTGTGCCAAGCTCCTGAGCATCTCAGTGGGCTCCCCCAAAACATGACCTCCACCAAATTGCTCCCCACACCATGCTTGTATGAGTCTGAGCACATCCCCCTGGCACCACGTGAGCACCTAGTGACACAGTCCCTTTCTGATGTAGATAACATTGCGTCGGAACTGGAGAACTTCATGGGGCTCATCGAGGTAGTGACAGGCTACGTGAAGATCCGCCATTCCCATGCCTTGGTCTCCTTGTCCTTCCTGAAAAACCTTCGCCAGATCTTAGGGGAGGAGCAGCTGGAAGGGTAAGTGCTCCAGGTTTTGTAGGATATCATCCTCCTGTTACAAAGTATAGTATGTTTGTGAAACTGTGTAAAGAAGGGGAGAGCCCTCTCTTGTTACACAGGAGAAAACAGGGTTGCCCTGCTACATGGATGATGGATGGAGTCTTGCCTGAGTTGTGATTCTCCACCCCTAGGACATTGCTGTTTTGGATAACAGAGATGTTTTCATTCCTGTTGGATTGGAAGCCATGGATCAAAGCTTGCCATGCTTTTGGGGACTCTGCTGCCAAAAGTGAAAGTTATCAGTCTAAAGTGCTTAATGCTGGGTGAAATTATAATTTACACGACCATATCTGCCTCAGAGTGTCGTACTAAGTGAAAACCAGTTCATATTTTAAAATATTGAAACATAAGGGACTTTGAAAGTATGGACGGTTTGCTTTGTTATAAAGTAATCTTGATTAACGAAATTGTTTTTATTGATTAGCTTATAGGATTTGCACAGTTGATCGAATTTTTGCCTTCTGCAGAGATGCGCTTTGTGATAGGGGTTTTAAAGCAGCCACGGGCTTCTTGGCGGAGAATAAAGGCTGCTGTTTGTTGCATACTTAACTTCTTTCCAGCTGTCAGCCTGCCTGTACCTCCACACCCATCCCTTTGCGCTCTCCCTCTTCCGTAAGGCTCTTGACTGACACTATGTTAATGCTTTGAGATAAAAAGGAGCTGTCAATGAAGAGGACTGAATTCCTTCAAAACAGAATTTGGGAAAATAACTTAGGAAAAAGAAAGGTGGCAAAGTTGTGGGAAAGGTTGTCCTTGAAGATTTATCTGCCCCAACTGGATAAAGTTACCGCATAAGGGCTTCTTTACAGCCTCCCCGTTTTTCTCAGACTAACTCTTGGTCAGCCTTAAATTCTTAAAATTCCATCATCTGATACAGCTGAAGAGAGAGGGCAGCTCTTCATTCCATCCTTGAAAAGCACACTGTCCTCCCCACTGGGAACACTGATTCTTTAGAAAAACCCTTTCTCTTTGCAAATCCAAGGAGACTGCACTGTGCCTAGCTCCAAAGTGTGATCATGCTTCCGGGGCAGGCTGGGGCCTGCCAGAGTGAGGGGTTGGTCATTGTGCGTTACATTTCAAAATGGGTTTAGCTCTTCTTTTTCCTCCAGATAGACTTCCTTTCTGGAATCCCTCGTATCATTAAGCACTTTTTATTTGGCAAATTGATAGCTGTCAGATTCTCTGGCTACTTAAGGATATGCTGTTTTTTGGGTGTTTTTTCCCCCCAGACTTGAGCAAGTGATAGGCACAAAAGAGAAGGCTAAGAGAAGACTTTAATTAATTTTTATTAGGAGTTATTACATGGTGCAATTACCTTTTCATTGTGCACTAAGTAAATGTATCATGCACTTAAGTGTAGCTTGAAATTAAAGCCAGATTTTTATTTGCAAGGATATTTATGATGTATTTCTCATTATATGAAACCTGCATAAAACCTGAGGTATCCCTTGGGTCTTTTTAAGGATGCATATGATTGCGGTCTTCCCAGGTAAGAGTCAGACCTGCCCTGCCCTGCCCTTAGGACAGCCTGTGTGCTGCTCCCTGAGACTGCCTCTAGCAAGGGCTCTTGGCTTTCTTAGTGGGAGTTGTTTTCTCACAGCTGCCTTCCTTACCTGTGAGCAAAAGATAATAGCTCATCTTCACTTGTATTGAACTCCCCAAGAACTCTGTTTCTTTCAGGGGTGACCAGTAGCAACAACTCACTTCTTTGTTCTCCTTCTTAGGCTAGGGACAAAGTTAGGCTCAGTACCTCTGGCTGCTACCTTCATTTCTTCTCCAAGAAACAAAAAGTCAGAAGAGGAAAGGAAAGGGGTATGATAAACAGATGAATGTCAAGAGTGCAGTGTGCAGCTTGCAGGGGCTTCCCAGGGAAGGAAAGGAATGTGCCATGGGAACAAGTGAGACCTGATGGAGAAAAGTGAACTGGCTTCCAAGAAGAGGTGGCGTATGAGATAGGCCTTGGAGGACTTCCGGAGAAAGGAGAGAGTGGCAGGGGCAAAAGCAACGAGTTGGGGCCTCCTAAGGCCTGTTTGGCAGATAACACTGGAGAGGTAGGTGGTACTAGAATCATGTAAGGTGTTAACACCCCGGTGCAGAGGTTATAATTTAGGTAGGTCGTGGAACACATTCAAGGCTTTTGAGTAGAGGAGCATTAGCAAAGATGTCTGAAATTTAATTTCAATGTGCCTTTGGTGTAAGCCGGGGTCATCTTTATACCAGTGTTTCCCAGACTGCTACACACTAGAATCATCAGGGTGGGTGGGGGAGACGTTTAAGAAATTCTTAACATCCATGTTGCACCTCACTCTCATTCAATCAGTGTTTGGGGTGGGTGGGATTCAGGCATCAGTATTTCTCTAAAGATTTCTAGGTACTTTCACCATGCAGCAGAGGTTGGACACCATTGCTTTAACCCTCTCATAGGCATGTGTTCCCAGAGCACTTTGAAAGTAAAATATGTTGTCTCATTGCTGCCTTGACATACGGAATTTCTTGAACCTTTCTCATAGCCATTGAGGACACAAATAAACATCTCTGTTTGGCCCAATAGGTTGAAAGTCCTGTAGGCTTTTGTTTTGATGGAGAGGGGAATAATTCATCATATGGAGGTTCTTCCAACCTGACAGCATTGGCTTTCCAAAATGTCACTGAGATCCCTCTCAAAATCTCCTAACCAGACTGCAGCAGGAAATCCAAGCACTTCACCCAGGGCAGAGCTCTGCAGTCCTCACACAGGCCCTGTTTATCTTTCTACCACACTCATTATGAGCTGCTTTCATAACCTGACTTCAGCCAGTGACAGGTAGAGGCCGACTCTCACCAAGACAGAGCAGGCTGATCTGTCACTGAAGAAGGGGGTGGCACAGATGGCCACAGGTGGCCTTCTGTTTGTCCAGAAAGACTTGGTCAGGGTCTCCTCAGGTACATCACCTGCTCTGTTTAATTTCTAGAGGATGACTGTAGATACTAAGAAAATCAAGGTTTTTCTGCTGTTCACAGAGGAAACTGATTTTGTAATCTATACGTATGTACGAGATTTCTATAATTTTTATGCCCTTGAATAAGAGAGCAAATATTTTTCTTACCTGTCTGAAAAATTCCCTGATTTGGACAAACATATTTTCTGATGCCATCGAGTAAATAAGGTGTTAAAATTTCAGATTGCCTCATGCCTGGTGGTGCATGCCAGTAATCCCAGTACTCTTCAAAGGCTGAGACAAGAAGATTGCAAGTTTGAGCCCAACCTGGATAACTTAACAACATAGCCAAAGCCCGTCTCAAAATATAAAGTAAAGAAGAGTTAGAGATTACAGCTCAGTGCAGAGGCTCTGGGTTCAATCCCTGGTATTAGAAAAAAAGAAGTCAAATTCCTTGGTCCTGCTAAGGATTGTTGTCTCAGAGTGAATAAAAATACATGGCGGTGGTAGACTGTAAGAACTGAAATTTGTAAGCCTGGGGATGTAGCTTAGTGGTGAGAATACATGCCTAGCATACACAAGGCCCTCGGTTTAATCCTCAGTAGAGGAAAAAAAATCCTTAGGTGCATCCAGGCGTTTCTCTGCTTATTTCTCAGCCCCTTGACTTTGCAGCACTTCATACTACCTTCTTGCAGCTCTGAGACATGGCTGCACTTTAACATCTTCCTGGGACTTCTAAAAAATACGCACTCAACCATTTGACCCAGAAATCCAAGAATCAACCCAAGAGTAATGAGAACATGCCCGTGCAAGACTTACGTGTGAATGCTCATAGCAGGGTTATTTGTAATAGCCACACTCCTCCCCCAAACCCAACCCATTGGAAATAATTTAGATGTTCGTCAACAGATGAATGGATAAACAAAATATGACGCAATGGGGTACTGCTGAACAATAAAAAAGAATGATACATGTAAAAACATGAGTAAACCTCAAAAACATGAGGCTGTATGGGGGGCAGACATAAAAAGCTATACATTGTGATTCTGATAGTATGTAATTTCTAGAAAAGGCAAAAGACAGCAGGTAGTGGAGATAGCAGAGAGGGAAAGGTGGGGCTATGCATGGGGCTGGACACCGACAGAAGTGCAGGAACTGGGAGAAATGTCTGAAACTGGGTAGTAGTGATGGTTGGAAAGCTGTGTAAATTTAATGAAGCTCGGAGAACCACACACTAATGATGGTTGAAGTGTTTGGTATGTAAATTATACTCCAGTAAAGCTATTTTTGAAAACACCCACGAGAAAATATTTTCTGAGTTTATAAAAAAAATATATATTTTCTGAGTATCTGTGCGGTACCCAGCTTCACCTAGGCATACCTTTCTGCCCTTGTCAAGCCCCAGCGGATGGTGTGATACTGGATTTGTGAAATTACTCACTGCAGCTGGGTTTCGGGTGCATCTGTGAAAAGGCCACTTCCTATATCAGTCGCAGACTGCTTGGTGCTGAAGATAACTCCCTGTGCTGGGTTCTGATGCCCTCTAGAGACAGCTGTCGGAAGACGGCAGTTTCTCCCTGGAGAAAAGAACAGAAATTATCTCTTGTATATTTGTAGATTTCCTTTCAGTATGTCAGCAAGAGCTTGAAAGGAGGGGACTGTCTTTCCTACCTCCATAAGCTGTGGACCCATATGTCAGGGCGCAGGACTTTTCTGTTCTCTGTCACTTTGTTCTGGGGGACTTTGACACTTCAGAGAGCAGAAGAGGTCATCCCACACCTTTGTGAGGTAATTCAAAGCTCACAGTACCCTTTTATATGTAGCTCATCCAGTCCTTCCAACTGGCCTCGGACCCAGAAGAGAACAGGGAAGATACCTCCCATTTGCAGCTGAGCCAGCCTGGGAGAAGCCAAACACACTGCCCAGAGTTGTTACTGACCCAGTGGTGGGAAGAAGGTTTAGACCTGCTCTTTGGATTCCCACCTAGAATGCTCCAAACCTTATACGGGGGCTGTCTTCCCAGGGCTCCCCAGATCCCCAGCAATTATCCCTCCCCTTGCTCCCACCTCCTGCGGCGGGGAGCAGTATTGCTGATACTTGGAGGGAGGACAGCCCTGAGATGGTAGCCGCAGTAACAAGTTGAGTGTGTGCTGTGTGCTTTGTGGGCATTTAGAGTATCGATGCTGATGACACACAGATGCCAATGGGAAGACAACCAGCCACTCCTGGCCCACCCCAGTTGGTCTACAGATTGGCAGGTGGGACCCATCTAAGTAGAGAAACATTTTTTTACAACATTGAGATAGCTGAAAGCCAAGAAACTAATATCAATAAAACCTGAGGATTATAGAGCCATTGGGAGCTAATAAAACAAAACACCCCCAAAATTCTATGAATGTAAAGGTAGTGAGCCTAGAAACAATTATGAAACCACATTTACTGAGTAATTTCCTTAGATAGTTATTTCCTTTAAGAAACAATGAAAATTTAAGTTTATTTTGAAGATGTACAGACAGGTCCCTGCCTTTCACCATCTCTTAATTCTCATCTGATCACGGAAAGGGTTTGGTGGGAACAGGATGCCGAGCTGGGGTTGAAAAACCAAGAGCAGTACTGACAGACAGCTAAAGAATGGCTCGATTATTGCTTCAATAAGGGTTTTATTTATGTTTATCTTGCATGGTCTCCATAGCCCCCAGGTTTTATTGATATTGGTATCCTGGCTCCCAGCTTTCTCAGTGTTGTAAAAAAAGAATGTTTGTGTTTACCATAAAAAGATAATCTTGCTTTTCAACGTGATTAATCAAATACACAGAATTTCTATGTGCCTGCCATTCATTGTCAAATTCCTGATTTATAATTCATGCTTCCTCCCATGGGGAGAAGAATGTTTTGTTCAGACAGTATTTTTCAGTGCAACTCTATTTCCTGCTAGTAAAATTAGTTTACTAAAAGAGGCTTCATTCTGGATTGAGGTGGAAGTTTGACCTGATTAATTGGCCCTTACTCCCAGCCCATCCCAGAGGTTTCTTTACCAGTAAGATTTTTGTCCCTAGGGCTGTCTCAGGGACTGGGGAGCAGCCAGATCCTTGGGGTTAGCAATGACATCGCAGAGTCTCCTCCATTGGAGTTGGAAATACTCCGTGAACAAGGATGAGCATATGATGAGACAAACCCATTATCTCTGCAATCCTTCTTCAGTTGTAGGACGATACTGAATGCCCCTGACCAGCAGCAAGAGAGGACAGGGATGGGCTCTGTCCCCAGGGATGGACAGACCTAACTGGGCTGTCCAGGACACACAGCCTTGTGTTGCCATCTAGACTTTTTTGGACAATGTGTTTGATTCCTTCTCCAGGGTATTAGGGAGAGAGCTGTTTCTGAAAGAAAAGGATTGTTGACTTTCATCTTCTCACCACTCATTTGGGAACGTACATGTGACCAGAGACCCGGAGTTAGGCTTGGGAGGAGGCACCTGGCTTGGCTCAAAGGCCCTGTCTTGGGACTCACTGTGTGAGACCCAGCCTGTGTGCACTAGGCCCAGTGCTCAGAGAAGGGTGGGGCTTCAGGTTGGCAGGGCAGATTCCACCTCAGTTCTGTGATGCCTCTGGACATTGAGGCTCTTCAAGCCAGCAAGGTTCTCAGCTGTCACCTGTTCATGTGCCTGTTGTCCTATCAGAGAGTAAAGGATGCTGCACTAAAGGTCTTTGCCTTGAGCTATGCGACTCATGAAAGACATTTCCAGACCTGAGTCCCCACATCTGAATTCTCCCCTGGTCCATGAATTCCCAAGGAAGTGTCCTAGGTTGCTTGGCAGTGTTGTACCAGTAACTCATGCTTCACTCTAGGTGAGACTCAGACTGAAGATGGATCAGCTGGCTAGAGGTCCTGGTAGGGGGCGATGAAGGCCCCAGCAGGTACAGAGAGGTGCCCGGCGGACACAGCCTCTAGGGCAGAAGAAGACTTGAGCATTCTCTTTTGTCCTGGCTATGTTTGTTTCTTGGGTCTGAATGGATCTTAGAAATAGCTCAAAGTACTCTCCCCAATCTAAGTTCTAAGGGAACCTCAGAAAGAAACCAAGGATGGGGAGCAAACGAGGGGAGGAGGATTCTAAGTCCATGGGGAGCAGACCAGATTGCTAAGCTGGGACTTACATGCTGTTTCCCCTCCCAAGGGGTGGGTTTCTCTTGACACCAGGTAGCCACAGGTAATTATCTTGCTGTCTTCGGATCTTCTCTTTGGAGGATAGCGTGAGCACTGGGGGAGCAGCCATGGCCAGGCAGCTAGGCTCTGGCCGTCCAGCACCTTGCTGCTGGAGCTCAGCTTCTATTAGACCAGTTGTTTTCCAAGTGTGGTCTCAGGATTAGCAGGATCAACCTTACCTGATATGTATTAGAAATGCAGATTCTCGGCCCACCCCATACCTCTGCATCAGAAGCTCCGAGTACAGGGTCTCGCACTCTGAAAACAAGCTTTATACACCTAGAACTTGGAGAACTACTGAATTGGACACAGAGTCATGCTACCTGGATGGGAGCCCTGGGGCAGGGGGAACCATATGGAGGGCATCTCCCCTCCCCGTACCTGCAGGGACTGAAGCGAGGGCATCTCAGGGTGAAAGATGTATGTGGAGGAGGAAGCAGCATAGGGCTGCCCACCTCTCAACTGTCTCCCATCCCATCATGTGTGGCTGATTGGGCACGGGTAGGATTTACTCCCAAGGATAATGGGAGACTTCACAGCAAATATGTAAGCTGTTCCGGTTGGGTAGCAGAGCATGTAGTCTCCCGTGGACAGATTTCAAGTACATTGTACATACCTGGCTCGGAGAAAAAAATAACCAAAGGCATTTCTAGGGAATGATTCGAGGAACATCCTCTAGTGTGAGAAGCTTTATATGTTGGTAATAGAGGTCATAAAATTAATTAGGTCCTATCGATTTCAATAAGTTGCCCTTGACTCATGCTGTTGCCATGGTTAAGAGTGCCTGTCTGCTCTTACACACCATCAATAACTAAATCTTGTAGTAGTAATGGAAATGTGTTGTGGAGCCAGGTACGCAGCAAAGGGAACTGTGTTGGATGGGCCACTGGCTGGTGTGGACTGTGCACACAGGCAGGTGCACTAATGCCGATTTCTCTGCCTCCAGGAACTACTCCTTCTACGTCCTGGACAACCAGAACTTGCAGCAGCTGTGGGACTGGGACCATCGCAACCTGACCATCAAATCGGGGAAAATGTACTTTGCTTTCAATCCCAAACTGTGTGTTTCTGAAATTTACCGCATGGAGGAAGTGACGGGAACGAAAGGGCGCCAGAGCAAAGGGGACATAAACACCAGGAACAACGGAGAGAGAGCCTCTTGTGAGTGACAGCGTTCAGTCCCCTGTGGGCTCAGCAGCCAGGATAACCACAGACCCTCCTCAAATCTGGACAGTGGCTTTTCCCTCCCCGTTTCACTTGGGAGACTGCCAAGCCACCAGAGCCCCTTGTTCTGTGTACATCTTCACAGCCAATAGGGGCAGCTCCTGATGTTTCCTTGCTGATGCATGTTCCCAGGCATTTGTATGAGTGTGTTCAACACTGATAAGTAGGCTCCCACTCGGACACTAAAGGGGTTCCTGCAGAGTGCACAGCTCAGTATCTTCTGCACAGGCGTGCAGTTAGATTTTTGCCATGAAAGAGCTGTACTCTGCAGCCCCGCAAGCAGGTCAGCTCCACCCTCCCTGTCCCATGGAATGGGCTGTTATAGACCACCCACGGGCTCCCCAGCCCTCCCACCCGGCCGCCTCCCTGCTCCCACCCCAGGATAAAGAGATGGAATGAGCCTGCATCTTTATGTCCATAATGCCTTCTTGACTTTGAGCAATATAATTATAACCTTCTTCTGGTGATACAACTTTGATGTTAAGGTTTCAGAGACCTGGAGCTCAGCCTCTGTTAGACCAATCGTTCTACAAGTGTGGTGCTGGGACTTGGATGTCGCAGCGCATTGCTCCTTTATTTAACCCTGTGTGGGACACTGCTTTTAAGAGTGCAGAGGCTCTATTTGGCTGGCCAGGGTTAATAAAAGTAAATTGTCTCTCCACCCTTGACTTTAGATTAAAAAAATAGAATACGTTATATGATCACGAGTGATTTGCACACACACACAGGGAGGCAGATCTGTGAATTGCCTAGCAGATGGCCTCAGCTTGTTTTGTGGGTGTCTAGATTTGCATGGGAGACTCTCAGGCCAGGAGGAGTTCAGAGGGAAGAGAAGTGAGAGGTGGGGGTGTGTCCGCAGCCAGCACCTGCCCCTTTCCTGACCAGGCCCCTGCCTGCCTCCCTGTTCAGACCATAGCAGAAGCAGATGTGGCAGGGCTTTTCCAAAGTGCTTCTCTCCCTAGAGTCAGCCAGCCCATCCTGTCAAGTCATGAAAGCAGCTGCCACGTGTTTTCCTGAGAATACAGTCAGGCTTTTCCCTCTGCATTACACTTAAGCAGGACCTACAGTGTGTTCCTGATCTCAGTCGAGCACCTTGGGCACAGAAGACTTCCTGTTGTGTCACTGCTTTTGTCTCTGTGCTCCACCTCCTTGGTGCATGATGGGATTTAGGCTAACACGAGGAGAGGACAAGTGGTCAGAGAGTGTGGGGTCTCCTGAAGGGTGTAGCAGCTGTCAGTCCTTCCTTGGTTCTCACTTTGAGTGAAATCTGGTGCAGAGACCACAAGGGGCTCAGGGCTGCATCCCTGCTGGACCACAGCGGCCAGGGCTCCCCTCCCCTGGAGCACAGAGGGCTTGGCCCAGTGCAGCAGCTTCATGGAGTTCAGGCCTCCAACTGGAGGCCTCCGAGGAATTCCTGTGTCCTTCCAGCTTCATTTCCAGTTCTCTCTGTGGCTCACCTGGAGACTTGTACCTGCCTTGGGTGGTTGTAGGCACCCACACCCGCAGAACAGGTGCTGTCTCAGAAGACTTGGTCCAGCTTAAGGTCACTCTCACTTGACTAGGCCCCCTTTGGCAACCAGCATCTTGAGGATGACACAGAAAGAGAAGGCCACTTCTTCCCTTGCAGTAGCCCCTCTTTCAGGTTAAGAAACAGTCACCAGTTCGTGTCCCATTCCCTGGGCACATAGCCAGAGCAACTGACTGAACCAAAACAAATTAACGAAACCCTCAGGTCTCCACACAGTGAAATATGTGAGTTGTTAGTGGAGAATAAGAAAGCCACCTGCAGTGTCCAGACAGGGACTTGGCGCGGATGGCCATCTTTGGGGAGGAGGGAGGTAGTGTCCAGGTAGGTGCCTGTCACTTATGGATGCACCTCTCTGTGCCCCAGGTGAAAGCGACGTGCTGCATTTCACCTCCACCACCACATGGAAGAACCGCATTATTATAACCTGGCGCCGGTACCGGCCCCCGGACTACAGGGATCTCATCAGCTTCACCGTTTACTACAAGGAGGCGTGAGTGTCTGCGCTGGGCAATACTCCGCTGGCGGGCCTGGGAATGGTTGTGCCAGTCTTTGGATGTTCTGTGTGTTGTCTGACAGGAAGTCAGTAGGGGCCCCATGGAGAATCAGGCCGAGTGACCCAGCTCCATCATCACGTGCCCTTCCCGGCTGTCCCGTGGCTCCATCCCAGTCAGTGACAGCCATAAATGGGAAAGTAATAGCTTGAGGCTTTCCATTGTTTTGTGGTCATTAGAGATGTTTGAATGAGTTCAACCTAAAGAGTTGAAAAGCTTGGATTTGTAGATTGGGTCAGTCTGAACTGTCATAAACTGTGAAGGAGGACTTGGTTGAAATACTGTTTCAGCTTTCAGGCCCATGAACCCCTACACCAGGAACACCCCACAAAAGTGGAACCCTAGACTGGCCAGTCACTGAATCCACAGGCCTCTCCCAGTCGCTGCTGAAGGTCATGAGCCCCAAACAGGGGAAGGAGAGTGGACAGAGACATGTGTCTCCACCTTTTCACGACTTCTCCCCAGATCTACCGGGCGTTTTTCTCATGCCATCAGATGACACTTGCTGCCTGTGCAGCCCTGGCGCACTCCTCCAGATTGCAGCTCTGCTTGGTCTCCCTGCTCCTTCCTATACCTCCTGTATCTGGCCCATTCCCCCAGTCTGCCTCGTCATCCCCTTACCCAGCTCCCTTCTTCATGCATACGTCTCTGTCCCAGCTGCCTGGCTTCCCCAGAGCAAGCCAGAGGCACCAGAGGCAGCATCTGGCTCCCTTCCGCCTGCTGGGCCAGGATCCTGGAATTGTCACAGCCAGTGAGAAATGGGGAGCTCGGGATTGCTAGGCATTCAGTGTTTGTATATGTGGAGTCGCTCATGATCTCCTGTTGTAACAGCAGGAAGGTCATGTTAATGTCTGTTTCAGGAGCCAGTAACCAGTGCCCCTTTCATCTCATAAATGTAGAATCCCCATCCAGCCACGCATCTGTACAAAATTATCTCTTCTCTTCAAAGGTCCTTGGTACTTTGGCAACGTCAGCTGGTAATTTCACTAAGGAATAGCTGATAGTTTCTGAGACAATCCGGAAACTAATATTTGAGTATTATAAAATAACTTGAGCATCAGAATGTGCTGTGGACAACTTAGATTTTAGAAGCTACTTTTTCTCTGTAGAAAAGTCCATTTTCTCTAAAAGTCATCTTTTATCAAATCTGATGTTTGTATTAAATGACTGCTTGTTTTTACTCAATGGTGAAAAAAATTGCTGCAGGTAAGGTAAGGAGAGAGAAAAGCAGCATTTGCAAGTTTTCTTAAGGTGCAGTATTTTTAATCCTGGTAACTTGTTCTTCCTGAGGCAGAGTATTCATTTCTGCACTGTGTAACTGGTGAACTCCAGAGTCCAGTTACTTGATACTCTTCTTCAGTACAAATCTAATTGATCATTCACTGTACTTGAAATTCCCATTATAGAAAGTGTGATGCTGTCAGCCACTAGGGAAGGTTCTGAAGAGCTTTGATGTCAGAGCCCCAAAACATTCTGTGGACGTGGTTGATTGTGTTTCAGACCCTTTAAAAACGTCACCGAATATGATGGGCAGGATGCCTGTGGCTCCAACAGCTGGAACATGGTGGATGTGGACCTGCCCCCTAACAAGGATGTGGAGCCTGGCATCCTACTGCATGGGCTGAAGCCCTGGACACAGTATGCGGTCTACGTCAAGGCCGTGACCCTCACCATGGTGGAGAACGACCACATCCGTGGGGCCAAGAGTGAAATCTTGTACATTCGCACCAATGCTTCAGGTATTCCTGTACCAGACAAGCCCTTGCCAGTCCCTGCTTCTCTATGAGCTCGCCATACCTGTATAGACAAAGTGTAGCTATAGGCTGGTTGTAAGGCATGTGTGTCATGTCTTTCTCATCAGTGCATAATGCTATATTGTTGTATATTTTTTGTTTTGTGGTACTGGGGATCAAATCCATCCCCAGCCTCATTTTTTTATTTTGAGACAAGGCCTCACAACATTGCCCAGACGGGTCTCGGACTTGCACCCTTCCTCCCTCAGCCTCCCAGAGTTTTAGGGTTATAGATGTGCACCACCATGCTGCCTGGCATGTATGTTTTTTCCCCACTGCTAGCGCTTCAGGCTCTCCTGTGCTGTATTTTGGACCTGGTACCATCTTTCATCATCTGCCTCTCTCTCCTGTGCCCATGATCCTGGACCTTCCAGGGTGTTAGGATGATGTCTTAGCTTTCCATTGCTGTGAAAAAAATATCCGAGGAAAACAATTTTAAAATAGGACAGATTTATTTTGGCTCACAGTTTTAGAGGTTCAGTCCATGGTCCCTTTGCTCTTCTTGTTTCTGAGACCTCAGTAAAGCAGAACATCATGGTGGAGAGGGTGTAGTAGAGCTGCTCAGCTCCTGGCAGCCAGAAAACTGACAGATAGATAGAGAAAGATACTGGGGACAAGATATAGTCCCCAAGAGCATCCGTCACTTCCACATAGCCCAACAAATTATGACTATAATAGCCACAGATTAAGCCATTGCTGAGGTCAGAGACCCCATGGACCAGTCACTTTCGAAAAGCCCCACCTCTGAACCCTGCTGCATTGAGGACTAAGTCTTCCACGCAGGAGCCTTTCAGGATATGTCAGATCCAAACCATGACAGATGGTTTTGTTGAAAGGCTCAGACAGGGTGTAGCCCATTGTGGCTGCTCTTGTTTATTTTGATGTTTGGCCTTTGGGGAACCAAAGCCATGCTGATTTGTGTACCACTCAGGTCTGGTGGCTCATTGGTTTCCATCCTTATTCTGTAGCCACAGAGGTTCCTTGGAGGTAGGTAAATGCTGAAAAACAGTAGATGTGTAGTGTGTTGTAGATGTTCAAAATATTGAATGATGAAAATGTTTCTCCTCCTCTCCATCTTATCTTCATGTTCTAAAGTACCTCATCTCTCAACTTTAGAATGTAGAGGCAAATATACATGTGTTTTCCAAGTATATAGTGTCTAGTTTAGAAGTAGCAAGATGCACTTCTTTGTTAAAGACATTTACTGTCTTAGTCCATGTGGGCAACTGTAGCAAAAATACCATTGCCTTCATGCTTCATAAACAACAGAAATTTATTCCTCACAGTTATGGAGGACAGGAAGAGCAAGACACTTGCACATTCGGTGTCTGGTGAAAGCCAACTTCCTGTTGCATGGAAAGCCATGCTTTTGCTGGTATATCCCTACATAGCATGACAAAAGAGCAAGGGAACTTAGGTATCGTTTTTGTAAGCGCACCTAATGCCATTTATTAGGGCTCCATTCTCACGACCTGATCACTTCCTGATACCATTACCTTGAGGGTTAGGGTTTCCACATGTGAATTTGGGGATGGGGACACAGTCTGCAGCACTGATATCTTAGCTATTGTTACAACAATCAGGGTGTTTTTAAATATCTATAACCTCACCCCCCAAAAATGTTTAAATAGCACAGAGAGAAAAAATGTACTGGGGAATGCCTTTAACTCAAACACACCCGCTCCCTCCTCCCCTCCTCTGCCCCATTCCACTTACCCTATAAACAACCAAAATCGTGTCACTGACACTAAAGCATTTATAGAAATAAAATCAGCACATGCGTCTGATCCTAGGCATGGTGTGGTATAGCACAATTTACATGCAACAAGTTATTTTAAGTTACTCATCTTAATATTTGGAAGTAATCCTTCCCAGCCAATCATTGTGGCAAGTTGGAGAAAAATAAGACTTTCTCCTTACTGTAGCAGATTCTTAAGAAACTTACTTCTTTTCCCCAAATGATAGAAAACCAATCCCTGTACAGAATGAGTCAGCTCCCTGCATTTCGGCCCTGTCCTTACAAGTGGTAGGGACAGATCATAACTTGTTCTTGTGCGCCTGTTTGTTTGGTTTTTTGTTTTTTGGGGGGACACCTATCATTGAAATATCCAGAAGTAAGCTGTTTATTTTTGAAGTACTTATTTTTGGAAACCACAAATTGGCCAAGGATCAAGTGGTTATATTTTCTCTGGAAAAGCTAGCATCAGACATAACCTTTTCCCAAAGTATTCTTCCTTAGAGATGCTCAGACCCCTGTATTCTGTATCCTCCAGCTGTTTATCTCTTTCACATTTTAAAAACAGCTTGGATGAATGTTTTGATTCAGTGCATACAGTGAAGGTGCCTCTTGTACATTGAAAAAATTGTCCAAATTGGTGTTTTTTGTGAACCCAGTGAGAACACAATTTCAGTGGTCCCAGGATGCATTTTTCCTTTCTGCATGCATCAGCTCTGAGCTTGAGTTTGGGTGTCAGCAGTAAGTCAAGGTTGATTGGATTATAATGCTTTGCCTATAAATCAATATTCTTTTTACTGGCAGCAGAGTCTTTTGCTTGAAATCGGGGCTTACATGTGTTTGCATCTTTAGGCTGCTTTACAGTTGTGTCTCAGTCAATCCCCTGAAGCAGATTATAGGTCTGGTGGGTTTCTGTACTCTCTCACAGCCTTTCCTCTGATCCCTTACACACAGGCATATTCACGCGCGCGCACACACCCTGCCAGCTTCACCTCCTTCCACCTTTTCCTTCAGCTTCTTGCCATTTTTATCAGAGATTCCTACTTCCAGGTGAAATCCAGATCAGTCAATTTTACCATTTAGTAAAACTGCCAGAGTTAAACACATTGGAGAATGGCAGTTGTAATAAAAGAAAAATCAGGTGTTTGAATGAACTATAGATTTTAAATCATCTATTCCAACCCTGTTTATGCCCTGGCAACCTTTTCTATTTGCAACTCAGCAATGTTTGTTTTCACAGAGATTGCCTGAGAAGAGATGCTATAAAGGGAAATGTTGGCGCTTAAGTTAATACTCTTTCAAAAGCAAGGTTCAGTTTTCACTTTGTGTTTCTGTTTTTATTGCCATCTTCCTATCCAGGTCATACTTGCAACATTCTGTTGGTTTGCCTTGAGTCCCTAATAGCCTCGAGCTTAAGTTCATTTATTTTCTGAAATGTCCTTTGTTCTCCTTTCCAGTCCCTTCCATTCCCCTGGATGTCCTTTCGGCATCAAACTCCTCCTCTCAGCTCATTGTGAAGTGGAACCCCCCGTCTCTGCCCAACGGAAACCTGAGTTATTACATTGTGCGATGGCAGCGGCAGCCTCAGGACGGCTACCTGTACCGGCACAATTACTGCTCCAAAGGTGAGGATGCGCAGGTTCCGAGTGGAAGCTGAAACTGTCCTTGCCCAGAGTCTGCGTGCGCCTGAGCCCTGGTATCACCCCTGTTAGGGAAAAGTGTAAGTCCTTGTGTTGGACACCAGCCACCTTCTTAATGACTGGCGCCGACAGCTCTTCTTTGTCCTTACAAGCATGTCATACCTGGCTCTCATTCCCACTCTCCTCTTGGTTTCTCTTTCCTGAGAAGACAAAATCCCCATCAGAAAGTATGCCGATGGCACCATTGACGTTGAAGAGGTCACAGAGAATCCCAAGACTGAAGTATGTGGTGGGGAGAAAGGGCCTTGCTGTGCTTGCCCCAAAACTGAAGCTGAGAAGCAGGCTGAGAAGGAGGAGGCCGAGTACCGGAAAGTGTTTGAGAATTTCCTGCACAACTCCATCTTCGTGCCCAGGTATCTGACCATTTGAAAACGTCCCCAGGCTGGTGCTACTGGGCTGGGTTCTGCTGCTTTTCTCTCCACTGGGTGGTGTGGGGCATAACACAAGAGCCACTGAGGAGGAGCAAGCAAAGATGGTTCCGCCTGGCTGAGTGGGGCTCCCAGGGGAGCTGGCTAGCCCTGAGGGGAAGGGGCTGGGCTCGGTGTGAGGTGCGTGGGTGTCGGGGGTGCTGCCCAGTCACACCACCTCCCTCGGAGAGCAGGTGGGCTCCCCTCAGAGGTGGGGAGATGAGGCTGAGTGGGCTTCTGTCACTTGCCCAGACTCAGGGACATAAGCCAGAGGAAAAGCCAGGACATGCCCTTCCCACTCTTCCCTGCTGCCCCATCGGGCTGGGGGAAGAGGGACTGAAACAAGAGGGGAAACTGAGTCAGTTTTGAAAGTAGTCCAGCTTCGCCTGGGCATCCTTGGCAGGCAGGTTGGGCCGCAGCATAGAAGGCAGTGTTCCAAAGTAACGGGAGCTTTGCCTCAGGGAGTCTCTCTGCTCCTGTGCTCAAGCCTCACTTTCTACAAAGAGGGAACAAAAGTGGAGTAAAGGAAGTGTTCAGTAGCATCACTGTTCATAGTAGGAAAAACCTGGAAACAACTCAGGGGTTCATCCACAAGATGAGTAGATGAACAAAATATGGCCCAGCCGTTCAGTGGGATAGTATTCAGCCACGAAAAGGGGGGGAAGTTGGACCCATGATGCAACATGCGTGAACCCTGAGAACTCAAGCCAAGCAAAACAAAGCCACGTACACAGGGGTCAGTACTTCATGATCGCCTGTTTCTGGAGTATGCAGAATAGGGAAGCATGTAGTGGAATAGAGTTCACTAGGAGCAAGGAGTAGGGTGGGGAGGGAAATAGGAAAATATTTGGTAATTGTTAGAGTTTCTGTTTGGGATGATGAAAATGTTTTGGAAATAGTGACAATAGTTGCACAACATTGTAAATGCAATTAATCCACTAAATTGCACATTTAAAAGTAGGCTAGGTGGGGTGGCACACCTGGAATCCAGCTGCTCAGGAGGCTGACTCAAGAGAATCACTACTCTAGGGCCAGCCTAGGAAACTGCAAGACCCTGTCACAAAATACAATTTTATAAGGGCTGGGGCGTAGTCCAGTGGTGGAGGACTTCCCTAGCAATGGCGAGGCCCTGTGTTCAATCCATGGACACACACACACACACACAGAGTTAAAATGGCAAGAGTTCATGTAATACATTTCTTTATTTTAACATTTTACTTTAGCACAACAACAACAACATGAGCAAACCAAATGGTTTTTAAAAAACTGGCAGAAACCTCAGTAGAGTAGCCTGATAACGTCGGGAAAGGAGCTCAATACGGTGTGGTGGGTGGCCCATGGCACCCTTTACAGAACTGGAAACAGCCTTGCTTCTGAACACTGGGCAGAGAGCAGGAGTCAGACCAGCCCTGTCCCCTCCGTGCTCAGCTGCCGGCTCTCCGCCTGGCACGTTCTCATCCATTGAGAAGCCTCAGAAGTGTGTAGCAGTTATTTATTCCATCTTTACAGAACTTTGTCCTTAAAGACTTTCTGAGGTTGTAATGACAAATGGATTTTAAAGAGTTTTTTTCCCCTCTGTCAAGTGACTTTTATGATACTTGCAAAATGGTCAAAGATAGCCACTCTGTCTTAGAAGAATCAGTAAAGTAGGAAATAAAGGCCTTTTAGAAGTGAAGGTGCTGTTTCCTCTTGAGAATGAAACTGCTGACTTCTTAGTGACTTCCTCCCCCTCCCTTCCTCTCTTGCAGTTTCTGAGCTACAACTGCAATGCCCAGGATCCCAGGGGGGCCTCGCCTGCCTGCTGGGGCAGCTCCCATTGGCTGGCAGATCAGATCTTAGCGCTGCTGACCAAGTGTTAGCCTTGAGCTTTAATGTGCAGTACGGTTTTCTTACCGTGGTGTCTGTGTATCATGTGTGGATCCTGGAACCTAGAAGCTCAGGTATCAGAAGGAGCTCAAAGATGCTTGGAAACTAGAACCTCGTGAAGTTTGGAGACCTTTCTGATATCTTAATTAGTTTAGAATCTGTTTGAGTCTTGGTCTACATCCTCAGACACCAAGAAGGCTCTTTCCTGTCCCTGCCTTCCCCACGCCATCCTGTCCAGCTGGGTCAGCAGAGGCTCAGCAAGGGGCGGGCAGCTCCTGTGGCCAGAGGAATGGATGAGTAAAGACTATCCCCGGCAGGCTTGGCAGGAAGTTCTTTTTGTTTGTTGTGGTGTTGAGGATCAAACCGAGGGCCTCATGCGTGCTAGGCCAACACTCTACCGCTGAGCTACATCTGCCAGCCCCAGGAAGTTGTTTATTCTCCGTCAGAGGCTGTTGGTTACACTGATGTGTTGTCCATCCAACCTCAGAGATTCCAGTTGTAAGTCAAGGATTTGAAAAGTTCCATTAACTCATTTTTCTGTTGTTATAACAAAATGCCTTAGACTAGGTAGTGCATAAAGCTCACAGCTTTGAAAGTTGAAGACCATGGAGCCAGCTTCTGCTCTGCACTGTGAGGGCCCCTGAGCTGCATGACCAGGCAGAGCCCCGTGGTGAGAACACTTAGGAGAAGATGCCAGAGAGACCTGGGTCTGCTTTACTCTTTTATAAGAACCCACTGTCAGGAGAACAGCTCACTTTCTCCTCAAGTCTACATTAATCCCACCTGAGAGCAGCACCCAAAGTTACCTGCTTATCTTCCAGCAGGTCCCATCTCATAAAGGTTCCACCACCTCTTAATACTGCCACCCGGGGAACCATGCTTCTGACATAAGAGGCTTTGGGACCCAAAACCTAACAGAAAGGCTTTCCTAAAAGGCCCCTTGCATTCAGTTGTAGTCACAAGATGATAACTTTTGGTCATCAGACGTGGGACACCAGATTGAGTGATGTGGTTGACATCGATGTTATTAATACACAGCATTTGTGTTATTAGGGTCAAAATAAGTTTCCTGTCTGCCATATCTGACATGACGAATGTGTTCATCCATCCCCACAGTCTGACTTTCTCTCTCCTAAAACAAATCCAGTTTGGCAGCTCTCTCTCTTTTTTTTTTTTTGTGGTATGAACATTGATACCATATTTTGTCCATAGGGAAAGGCCACAATTTATTAAGCACTTAATGTTTTTTTGTTTGCCTCCTACTAAGGCTTAAATCTGATATCCATACAACTTCTGACAGGTTCACAGAAATGAGCACCCAAAATGACTGAATCATGAAGTCTTTATTTTACAGCTAAGCTATCCCAAAGCTACTTCAATTTCATGCAGTTCATTCTAGGAACAATTTACTTGAAGGTGAAAACCACATACAACAGATTTACTTCCTTCTATGTGGTCCAGCATGCTGTGTGTTTGAAGTAGCTTGGAAGCTAGAGTTTGTAAAGCTGCTTTCTGAAGTCTGTGTGGTACAAAGTGCCTTTCATTGGCCACCATCTCTGTTTTTCAAATCACATCATTTGTTTTTTTGTAGCTAAAATATTGACAAGTACTGAGAAGTAAAAGGTTTTCCAATAGAAGTAGGTTGTGTGGCAAAGATGAGTGAGGAAAGTAGGCCATCATGTTTGCTCTGGGTTACACCATTTGGATTTAGCTGTTGACAAAGTATTATGCATGGGCCATTCTGCTTCCTCCACCCCTTATCTTCTTGCAGACATTCTGCTGTTTCCTTCTCCTGATCCCTGACTTAGTGTCAGTACTAGCAGCCATGGAGCCTCCAAAGGTGTGGTGTTTACAAATAAATGAACCGTTGAGTGTACTTGGTGGTTGATATAATCCCAGTTCAGTGGTGGTGGTCTAGAGCGGGGGTAGACACTGTATTATTTTGCTGTGGATCAAACCCAAGCAGTATCTTACTTACAAACACAAGTGTATGTCATGTTTGTTTTGAAGGGAAGGCAGGAAATTTCTTGGTAATGTGTTGAAAATGACCTCCCTAGCAGTAAATGTGGTTTCTTGTGTTCTTCCCTTCCAGGAACGTAGTTTGGGGTTGCTTGGTTTGCATGATGTGAGGATAGTGGATAACTGGCCTCATTTCCTAACTCTTCCTCCTCCAGCATTGTAAAAACAAATGCACCAGCCCCTGACCTTGTTTCTCTGCCTTTTGGAATGAGTTTCACGGTATTGTGCAGTTTCTGCCTTTGGTGGGGCCTGAGTGTTACTACACAAAGAAAGACCTTTTTACCTGCAGGGGAATCCATGACCCAAGAGAATTGGGAGCCAGTGGCCCTTTCCCCTGCCCCTACCTTCCCCCTCCAGATCTTGGCCTAGGGGCCAGGAAGAAGCCTGCCAGGCATCCACTGAGCCTTCACAGGGCTCCGGATGCCTTGCAACTTTTGCTCCAGCAGTTAGTGTTCTCCTGTAAGGGTGACTGATGCATTTCCCCTATTCTTGCCTCCTCATCTCCTTGGACTCGGAGTTTTCTTACCAGATGAGGCTTGTCCCATTTGCTCCAGGCCCTTTGCCCATTCATAAGACCCTTCACCAGCTGGTGGCCTCAGCATCCTGCTCCCCATCCTCTTCTGTTTTCCATGACCTGAGGGCTGCTCTCACCCTGACCAGATTCTCCTCTCATATTCTTTGTTTTTCTTGGTTCACATAAGTGGGAGGCGCCTGTGAAGATGCCCTGGAGGACCCTAAAAGCCCAGTTTTTCATATCCCACTAAAGCAACAAGTGGAGGATCACATTTTTATCTGCTTGTTGGGGTGCTAGTGTCCTTCTTGGGAGATTTTATGTGTTCCTTTTTGCTTTCCTTTTGTTATTGTTCCTGTAGCTGTTGTTTCAAGCCTTTCTCAAATCCATGACAAAGACTTTTCCCCTCTCGTGGGCAGGATATTGAGGAGACCACAGGTGTCCACTGCCGAGCAGCAGGCACAGCTGGGCTTGGGAGACCCACGGGAGTGTGGCACACAATGCAGGCTTGGGGTAAAGAGGGGGTGTCAGCAGGAGCCCTCACGGAAGGGCTGTGGGGCTCAGGCACATGCTTGCTGCCCAGATCAGGGCATCTTCACTTTATTTCAGAAGGAATCAAAGTTGTCACCACTGTGGGCCTTTGAATTCCTTCTGTCCCATTTTTCTGGGGCCTGAGCAACAACCTGCAATAAATCTTAGTGTGTAGTGAATAGGTTTGAACCCTTTAATGCTTCTCCATGACGTCTTTGACCAGATGGCACTCGCTTCTGAGGAAACAGGACTCTGCCTGGCCAAGTGGCTGAGGCACTTTGCTTGCAGATGTAATGAAGTAAACACTGCGGGAGCCAGGGCCAGAGTCTGTGTGTTGCTTCTCAGGGTGGAGAACAGCGACAGCAAGGTAAACACTGAAAAGGAAATGCCCTGCTATTTGATGGTGCTTATCCCTGGAGAAGATTCTTCTTTTCTGTTACTCATACTAGTCAAAGAGAAGACAAAAGGCAGAGGCGACAGCGCTTACAAGCTTCTTTCTTCCTTGCAGACCCGAGAGGAAGCGGAGAGATGTTATGCAAGTGGCCAACACCACCATGTCCAGCCGGAGCAGGAACACCACGGTGGCAGACACCTACAATGTCACAGACCCAGAGGAGCTGGAGACAGAATACCCTTTTTTTGAGAGCAGAGTGGATAATAAGGAAAGAACTGTCATTTCAAACCTCCGACCTTTTACTTTGTACCGCATTGACATCCACAGCTGTAACCACGAGGCTGAGAAGCTGGGCTGCAGCGCCTCTAACTTTGTCTTTGCAAGAACCATGCCTGCAGGTATGGCGTGATCCAGCTAGCCCCGATGCCAGCTCTGACACCCACGTTGGGAGTCTCAGACCTAGGCTTACTGAGGAATGTGCAGTGGTCGGGAGGCAGCGTGGTAGACCAACTGGCTGGGGAACAGCCCATGGTCCTGTCATGGAGCTCCCTGCAGGGTCCCCTCTCCCCTGCTTGGTCTCCATTGTGCATTTCAGCCTTTGCTCCCTTTGTGCTCAGGGAAATGAGTCTCCTCCTTGCTGGGATCTCACAGATTCATTATCGTCTCCAGTTACCTGCAGTGTGAGTGAGCTTTCAGTTATTGTGGCAAAATACCTGAGATAAACAACTGAACTGGAGGAAATGTTTCCTTTGGCTCATGGTTTCAGAGGCTTCAGTCTGTGGTCACTTGGGCAAGTTGCTGTGGGTCTGTGGTAGCACAGTAGTACATCATGGTAAGAGTGTGTGAAGGGGGGAAGCTGCTCACCTCACGGAGGGCGGAAAACAGAGAGGAAGGAGCTGGGTTTTCAACATGTCCTTCAAGGGCACCCACGTCCTTCCTCTAGGCCCCGCCTCCTCGTGATTCCACCGCATGCTGGGGACCAGGCCTTTAACACATGGGCCTTTGGGTGACACTTCAGAACCAGGCTATTGTAGCCACTTTCATTCCAGTGACCCCTGTCTTAGTCACTTTCTTGTTGCTGAGAAAAATACTCGGCACCCACAACTTAGAGGAGGAGAGGTTTATTTTGGCTCACAGTCTCAGAAGTTTCAGCCCGTGGTGGGCGGGCTCCAATCCGGAAATGTCATGGTGAAAGGGCTCATCACAGAGGAGGGCTGCTCGCTCACAGCCATCAGGAAGCAGAGAGGAAAGGGGGGAGCAGGGGACACACCCATGCAGGTCGTGCCCCTAGTGACCAGACCGCACCTCCTGACAGCACCCTCAGCTACTCGGCCCACTAGTGGATGAACCCACTGATGAGCATGGCATCCCCACCATCCGGTCCCCTTCCAAAAGCCCGCCTCTGAGTGCATGAGAGTTTTAAGGAACATTCTAGATCTAAGCCATAATACCCTCACTCCTCGAGACCAGCTCTGGGAGTAATGGTCAGAGGAGAGAAAGCTCACTTGCTGCCAAAATCTTGCTCACAGGCCGGTGTTGTGACCATGTCTCACACCCATGTAAGAATCGCAGTTGCTTTGTGTAGACATGGACTGCACAAGATCCATGTCACAGCCTGGAGGTCCCGTGCATCGCTCCAGTTGGTTGGCACCCCTGTGCAGTGCAGCAGTGTTGAGCAGGTCCTTTCTGCAAGTAGTAGAAGCAGAGGAGAAGAAGTTACTTAGGATGCCAGGAATTTCCTAATGTGCTTGTCACAGGCTTTTCTAGGGAGGAGCAGATAGAGAAGGGAGGGCACTGTGACACATTGAGACACAAGAGTCAGTGGGTAGAGCCAGCTCAGGAGGGGCCCACATGCTCACTGTGCAATAAGCGAACATTTGGAGGAGGGTTATTCTCAGCTTAGCCCAGCGTTTGTCTTCTTTCCTGAGGACCCGAATCCAACTTTGTCACTGTTTCAAATTGTTAAACAGAAGGAGCAGATGACATTCCTGGCCCAGTCACGTGGGAGTCGAGGCCTGAAAACTCCATCTTTTTAAAGTGGCCAGAACCTGAGAACCCCAATGGACTGATTCTAATGTACGAAATAAAATATGGATCACAAACTGAGGTACGACTGGGGCTGTGGTCTGTGGCTGCATGCACTTCCATCAGAGTTGGTATGGCACAGCATGGCTCGGCATGGCACAGCCTGGTATGACACAGGTTACCTCCTGATTCGCTTAACCTCAGACAATAAGATGAGGCAGTGAATGCGTGAGGACCGTGGCTGTTCCAGCAGCCCCATGCTCTCCAAGCAGTATAAGGAGCTGGGCTGCTTCTCACCCTTCCAAATGATGCATTGCGGAGACTGATCTCCCCACGTAAGCCACCAGCCTTAGTAACTTTTAATTCTTCTGGAGTTCTGTTTGGTTATTAAAATGATCACAAGTTTGGGGTGTGCTTTGAGTAACTCAGGGACTGACTACCATTGAAGACTTGGTTTTCTTCCCCCTTTTTTGTCAATTGGGATCATTCTTGGGGTGGCCCAAGGTTGGGTACCAAGCATCACCAGCGTCTTGAGCTGGCAGGTGCCAGCTGTCTCTCATGCTTGTAGGAAATTGACACATATGTTTTATTTCCTCCAGGATCAGCGAGAATGTGTGTCCAGACAGGAGTACAGGAAATATGGAGGGGCCAAGCTTAACCGGCTGAACCCAGGGAACTACACAGCCCGGATTCAGGCTACCTCACTCTCTGGAAATGGGTCGTGGACAGATCCGGTGTTCTTCTATGTCCCGGCCAAAAGTAAGGCTTGTCGAAGGAGTGGCATGGTAAAGCTGAAAGCTGAGTGGGCCAAGATCTGGGAAGCTGGGCCACTGAGGTTCTCTGATTTTCTGTTAGAACTGAGGCACGCTGAGAGCCAGTGCCTTGACTGGGAGCTCAGCCTGGGCAAGTGCTGGCCCTTGGATGCCTACTGCATGTGACAGGCTGGGAGGGCTACGCCTTCTTTGTGGGTGCACAGCCCCGGAGAGCCAGAAGAGATCTTTGCTTTCACCCTGGCCTGTGTTCAGAGCTATTATGCAGGCATCGAATTGACTGTCCTGTCTGCTACCTGGACAGTGAGCTTGTTGGGGTTTGTATTCAGGGTTCACACTCCTAGGAGGGATTCTCTGGTCCCACTGCTCCCAGCAGGAATCTCAGGACATCCCAAGTGGAGGCGATCCTAACTTCCCCTCAGTAAAATACGGCTGCACGTTTAACGCACCAGCATTCATGGAAGCACATAGGGCATCTTGTGCGTAGACTGGGTGGTGTTTTGCTGAAACCATCAACAAAACTGAATTCTTTGAAAGCTGTTCTGTATGATGATCGCAGTTTTGTGGGTTTTTGTTTTGTTTTAATGGTACCAGAGATTGAACCCAGGGCCTTCACACTGAGCTATATCCACAGCTTTTGTTGTTGTTCAGGCAGGGTCTCGGTAAATTGCCCAGGATGGATTCAAACTTGAATTCCTCTTGCCTCGGCCTCACAGAGTGCTGGGATTACTGTCTGATTTTAAAGTTGAATTTTGTAAAATATCTGAGCACAATGAGGACCATGTATAGTACTTTAAAAAAAATTTTAGACCTTTTGTTTAATGAAATTATATCCGTACTGAATTTTTTAAATTCTTATTAGAAACTGGTATTTCAGATTATTTTGTGTTCGTATAATGGGATCAAACTTGTGGCAATAGTGTTCCCACTACTCCTCGTTAACCATCACAGCCCAGAGCTGGGCATGTTGGTGCATACCCCAGGAAGCCAAGGCAGGAGGATGGCAGGCATGAGGCCAGCCTGGGCTCTATAGTGAGTTCCTGCCTCAAAAAGAGAAAGAGAAAATAGGAACCCAGCCAGGCATGGTGGCGCACGCCTACAACCCCAGCCACTTGGGAAGCTGAGACAGGAAGATCACAAGTTCCAGGCCAGCCTGGGCAACTCAGATCTTATATCAAAATTGATTTTTTTTTAAGAGACTATGGATTAGCTCACCAATAGAGTACCTCTAAGTCCAAGGCCTTGGTTCAATCCCTAGTATTGAAAAAAAGAAAAGAAAGTAAGCCCAGCTTCAGTTAATGGTAGTACTTTTGGGTCTGATGGGCTGATCCTTCCCAGAATTTGAAGCTTCTTTTATCTGGAGTCTGATTAAAACAAGGACTCAACAGATACAGCAGGCCCACCCTTGGGTGAACACCCACAGGAAATGAACTCGGTGTTTCTTAGAGATAGCTGCACTCCTGTGTTCACTGCAGTGCTCACAGCAGATGAACAGGTTTGAAAAGTACACATACACACACCTGAACACTGTTCATCTATACGAAGGAGGGCAGTCTCATCACTTGGAACAACACAGACAAGCACAAGGGCCATTGTGTTAAATAAGCCACGCACAGAAGGGTAAATACTGAGTGATCTCATTGTACATGGAATCTAAAAATGTTGAGCTCATGTAAGTACAGAGTAGCATGGTGGTTACTGGAAGTTGGGAGGGAGGCCAGTTTTGAGAAGTTGGGACTGGAGAAATACATTCAAGGCATCAGTTGTACAACACACTGTGGTTACCAATGACATTATATTCTTGAATATTGCTGAGGGTAGATTTTAGATGTTCCTACCACAAAAAATTGATAAGGATGTGAGGTAACATGCATGTTAATTAGCTCAGCATATGCATATTTGAAAACGTGTTGTAGACGATCAATAATATGTAATTTTTATGTTTCAGTTAAATATTTTAAAAACAAGGACTTCAGTAGTCCACCTATTGAGCACCAGATGTTCAAAGTTATGTAGGATATCTGGAAATTCTCATAGGGACCAAGACTAAAAAGATACTGCCAAATAGAATTCCACACTGCGAGCCAACATTGTATGCACCTGGACTGCACCATGCCTAGGTTCACATTTTAGGGGCCAGCAGATGCTTAGCAAATAATTTTGTCAATTGAAATAATTTGCATTCTCTCAGTCCACTTAACCTGCTCTTACCAGTTAACTTATGTGTTAGCTTTCTGATACTGTGAGAAAATACCTGTATTTCTCTGTGGCAGATCAACCTCAAAAGAGAAAAGGTTTGTTTTGGCTCGTGGTCTCAGAGGTTTCCACGCATAGTCAGTAGGCTCTGATGCTTTTGGCCCATGATGAGATGAATATCACAGTAAGGTGTGTGGAGGGGAAGCAAAGCTGCTCACCTCACAGTGACCAGGAAACAGAGAGACAGAAAGCAGCCAGCACCCCAAAGACCCCTTCAAGGCCACATTCCCTGACCTCATTTCCTCCCCCTGGGCCCCACCCCCCAACAGTGCCACAGGCTGGGGTCCAAGCCTTCAAAACATGGGCCTTTGGGCACACTTATGCAAAGCACAGTAGCTTTCACCACCATTCACCCCCAGAACACTCGAGATCTAGCCCTGTCCAGAGGAGTGTCTCCCCCTGCCCTCACTGTCCCTAGGAGTGGAGCCTAGGGCTCGGGGGCCAGTGTCAGGCTCTGGTCTGTGAAAGAGCAGCCTTGGCTCCTGAGGCTTAGCAAACTTGGCTTCTCTTGGGAGAGGAGATGTCCCTGTCTGCCTATGTCCCATTCGTAACCCTGTGAGTGCATGGATGCCCCTGGGGAATCCAAGCATCTCCCATGAAGCTTCTCCCACAGAAGTTGGCATCGACCACAGGGAAATTGAAACTGCACGCTGGCTTTGCTCCTGGAAGCTTTTCCTTATGTCAGACAAGACTCCTGCTACAGTTTAGTCTCATTTCCTGCTGTTTAATCCTCAGAGGAGATGCAAGCTTTGGAAGCTCTCTGGCACCTACTCTCTTTTTAGGAGCTCTTCATGTTCTTTAGTACTATTAAATTACCCTTCAGACTTCTCTTCTGCAGATTAAATATTCTTAGGTCTTTTGGGCTTTTCTTGTAGCCCAGTTGCAGAGGCCAGTTTCCTAGCCATTTAATCATTTTGTTCTTCTCTGGATGTATTCCAGTTTCTCCATGTCCCTGTTGAAATATGAAACTTGAAAAGAACACAGTACAACATGACCAGTAGTATAAGTGATACAAATACAAGAAATAGTCCTCGGGGGAAAAAAGAAAAGCCTACTAGCTTCCTATTGCCTTTCGAATATTTTCAGGAAGTGGAGGATGCAGGAGCCTGCATTCATTTTGGAAGATAAAATATCTTTAATTTCATAAAAATATCTTTAATTAAAAAACTAAAGCAGCTTTAATAGTCTCTAAAGAATATGGATAATGAGTTTGTAGTTGCAGTATAATCAGTGACAGGTGACTTAGCATCCATGTAACTCGGTCCCCAGTGACTTCCAAGTTCTAAGTACATTTCCAAGTAGACATCTCTGCTTGGTACCCAGTAGGTACTTCAGGCTCCTTGTACACCAAATCTCCAAATTGATGCCCTCAAAACACCTTCTCTCTTCTTCAGAGGTTCCTTAGCTGAGTGGCCTCGTAATCCACCAGCCACCCAAACAAGGAATCTCCTCGTGATACTTTGCTCTTCTTTCTCTCCAGATACTCATTTCTCATTTCAACCCCAGTTTTGTGGATTCTACCCCTTCAGTCTCTCAGGAATCCACCCTCTCCATGGCTAGTGCCACTGCCACAGCTCAGAATTTGCAGGTGACCTGTGTCGTGGGGATATTATGAGCTCTGGCTGCAGGAAGGCTGGACTCTGATTTGGGGGCCATGCCTTACCAGCTACCTGTGTGTCCCTGGGAAATCCAGGTCGTCCTGTGATCTTGCTTGTTTATAGAAAAGGAGCAATGGTTTCTTCCTGACGTCTGAACCCAGTAACACAGACCGTGTCCAGGAGTGTGGCGTGCCCCCTCGACTCCCCATGACATGGCAGTGGCCAGCACCCCCAGTCTGTCTTCCGTCACAGCCATTTCCCCTCAACATGAGTTTGGCCAGTTTATTAATGGCTTTGAAAGTTTTCACAGACTCCTTTCAATCTACAGAATGGAGTTGAAACCCCATAGCTTGGACAGTGCCCCTTGTCGCCCAGCCCTGACTTTTTTCCAGTATCACCCAGGCTTAGCGATCTAAGCCATCCTTCTCCTTGGAAAACTCTTTACCCCAGGAGACACATTTCTTTCTCCTTCAGTATGCAGGCAAAGGGAACTTTGCCTTAAGGATTATCATCCCTGGTCCCTGCTCCGTCCTCTCCCTCCCTCTGCATCCTGCCGTGTGTATGGTCCACTTTCCTCCACCTGTTCGCCCACTGATTTCCCACATGTGCTGCCGATTTCAGGGGTGCAGATGGGACTCGCTGGTCCCCAATCTGTCATCTGTCACACAAGTGCTGGTGACAACTTCTGCAGCAAGTTCTGTGATCTCCAGCTTTACACGTGGGAAACTCAGAGTAGCACTGACAAGGGGTGCCATCCAGTGGGGTGTGTGTGTTCATTTAAAATTGTCTCTGGAACGATAAAACAGAGTCAACGTGGCACTCACTATAAATGTATGAATCTCTTCATTTTATTTCAAGCATGAGTTCCATTAAGAGTGAACAGACTTCATTTAAGATTATTTTCCTTTGGTCCCTCACTTGAGCTTATAAATACCAAAATACAAGGCACTTTAAAAGTATATACCTCACTCTGCACTTATTTAACCTTTTTTTAATAATCCATCATGTTTGGTGTGTTATTGCTGATGCCATTTACCTGCAGGGATTCCTAGCACGGGGTAAAAGCATTTTCAGGGATTTTTCTTCATACTTCCCACAGAATATAAAAAGATGAAATGAGCAGATTGTTCACCTAGTGACACTATCTCGTTTCCCCCTCGTCTCTGCAGCAACGTATGAAAACTTCATCCATCTGATCATCGCCCTGCCGGTCGCCATCCTGTTGATCGTGGGAGGGCTGGTGATAATGCTGTACGTCTTCCACAGGAAGAGGTGAGCACCAGGGCCAAGTGCAGACTTTTTTGCGTCCAATGATTTGGTGATCTGAACCCAAGTGAAAGTCATCTTTTTGAGAAGATGCTGTGCTGATTGGAAAACATGATTCTCTAGTCAAACGTTCTTCCCAGGAAAAGAGAACATTTCCTAATGATTTGACAACAACAACAAAACAAAAATATTTTTCTCCAAGTACCCATCCTTCCCTTGCTAGCTGTTCTGGCACAGATACTTCTGGCATAGGTGGTTTTTCCAACCGTGCCGGTTTGGCCCTCCTGATCAAGTAAGCCTTGTAATTTCCAGTGAAGCAAAGAAACAAATGTTTCTTTAAAAGCTCCAATCTCAGGCCACCACAGAAGCCAACAGCATGTCCCCAAATGTCTGCTGCCCCTCCCCTCCCAGGCTGAATTGGGAGTTCAGGCAAGAGCTCCCATAGCAGTAAGGTCTGTCTTCAAGTGTCTTCTGGATATTCATGAAACAGAGCAAGTAAAACAGATGTACCAAAGATGAAGGTCTATCCAGAAGTGTTCGGGGACAGGGGTTTTCAACCTGATCTCATCTTTTTTGACAGAAATAACAGCAGGTTGGGGAATGGAGTGTTGTACGCCTCTGTGAACCCAGAGTACTTCAGTGCTGCAGATGGTAAGGCTCCTGGCCAAGGTCAGGTGGGGTGGGGGTTGTTCCAGGAGCTGTCTGGCCTGTTGCTAATTGGGGAAGAGGTTTGCATTATACTGAGGTGCCTTTGGCCTGGAATCTGTCTGATAACATTGCTTTTTTTTTTCAATCCAAATGTTTAGCAGTTCGGTGAATTTGTCAAAAATTGTGGGGCTATATGGGTTGCCCCAAGGAAGAACAGGCTTCAGAGATGGATGTGGCCCGCACAGTAATCAGTTTATTTAATTGCTTGAAATCTTGTGCCAGAATGAAAGAAGCATTCTAATTGCAAACATCCAGTCAGGATATGCTGCAGCTGACAAAACAGCCTTTTTCACCTGGTTTCAGCTTAGGGTCATAGCGTTCTGGTCATCTCTGGTCATTTACGGCTGCTCTGCTTTGTTTTATCTTGGAATTCTTCTGTCATTCTCTGCTGACTAGGGTCATGACATTCATTCCCTTCACATTCCCTTCAATAGCGAGTCACAAGGGTCAGTCAGTTAAGGGGCAGGAAAGGTTTAACTTGGAAGCTGGCTGGTGCTCAGGTTCATTTCCCTTTTTTCCTTTCCTGCTGTCTCACGTTGCCTGTAGACTTCAATCCAAACATTTTAAGGAAGTTGGGCCAGGGAGAGTTGCCATGGTCCCTCCACACTGAGACCCTTAGCTGGCACTTTGCTAGGGGCTGTCACCCTGCTGTTGATTGGTTTCCACAGCCCATCTGCAGGTGTGCGAAGGGCACACAATGAGGCAGTGGCACGTGGGGGAAGAGGGAGGGCATGGACCCAGTCCTTCCTGTCATATGTGGTTGACCAGATGATGCAGTCACTGCAGAAAGGGTCGGTGAGGTCCCTGGACTGGCAGGGAAGCTGGCCCACAGGAGTGGCCAGCAGTGGTTTATGAAATGAATAAACAAGTATGTTGGGGGGAAGTGCTTAGGAAAGCATTTACTGCCTTCTTGCTTCAGGACAAGAGAAAGATGTGTGGGAGACATGACACAGTCATGATTATTTCTAATTGTCTCCCATCAAATGAGAAAACATAGGAAAATACTTTGGTAATTTGAAAGCACCGTATACATGTGTGTGGCTTTACTATGGTTTCTTTAATCATTTCTCATTGAATTATGTTTATAGTAAAACTGATCAAAAACAGCCTCTTCTGAATGGAAATCAGGTGCAGAATAATAAGGACTTATTCCTGTTTACAGAAAGGTCTCAAAAAGTTGTCTTTTTAGCAGGCGTGTGTGTGTGTGTGTGCGTGCGCGTATGTGTGTCTGTGCTGCATAGAGAACGTTCTAGACGAATACACACACTAATAGTTATTTATGGAGGTTTTTATTTAGAAAAAAACAAAACCAAAAGATAATCGCAGGAATGGTACAGCACTTGTCTGGCAGTCATGAAGCCCTGGGTTCAGTCCCTAGCACTTCCAAGCAACTGTGAAGTGGCTTGGAAGCTTCCAGAGAGCATGAATAGAGTCACATCAGGCTCTAATGGTGGCTTGAATTCACAGTCTATGTCCTTCCAGAATGCTTTCATAATGAGTCCCAGTTCTTCTTTGGAACAAAACAGAAGCAAACTTATTGCCACCCAGAGCAACAGGTGGGAGCATTCACCTTTGAACTTAATTTGTTGGGATTTGTAAAGAGTACCATGTCACCGTTTTCCTCACAGGACAACAAAGTGACATTGCTTTTCAAAGGTGCTTAGAAACTTCCTTTCCCAAAGCTAATCTGCCTATCACCATTCTGCAGAGTACACTGAAAATCCCCTGCCAGAAAGTGCTGATAATATTGTACACACCTCCCACCGGCTGGTGGAACGTAGGACTGCTGGTTACATCAGAGCTGTTGGGTTGAATTTAAAGAAAGGATTGAGGGTATTGGACTTCAGGGACTCCCAAGGAATGGACGTGATGGTTTTAAGTCCGTGTTGGGTAGCACACTGTGAGCTAATTTTGGTTAAAAGCCAGCCTGGATCCTGAGAAATAGATGGGTGCAGTGACTCTGTACTTGCTGAGGGGTATTGTAAAGAGCCATATTTCCTGGCTCCGTGCGTCTTTACTCTTCGAAGCAAGCTTCAGCCTTCCCTTCAGGGACACAAACTGCCTGAGCCCTGCAGAAGGCTCTCTGAGAAATTCCTAAGCACATAAATGCAAAGAAATACAAAAATGTTTACCGGAGGAAATTCAAGCTTAGTATCAACCACGTTAGCTACTCCTCAAAGTACAAATTGGTGATGTCTCCCAGACCTAATTTGTAGTAAGCATCTTTCCCTTAAGACATCACCTAGAGGTAAGCACTGGGGCCGGGAGGTGGAATACAGCAATCTGCCCGCCGCAGGCCCATGGTCAGCTCTGACAGCGTGAGGCAAACAGTGCACTGCCCACTCCCCAGGCCTCTGCTCCCCAGCCAGGACTGGCTGCATCCTCCCGGGCAGCATGTGCTAACTGTCCCTCTCCAGCAGGACCAGTTCAGCACTCAGCACGTGGAGGTTATGGTCCTAACTGAAATTTCCTACAGATCTGGTAGACAAGAATGATTTTAATTTTTGCCCTGCCCGCTTGAGCTGTAGGTTGGAGCCTCTGTTTGGTTTTGCCTTGTTTCTTTCTTCCTGTTTTCTTTCATTCTCTTTCTTCTTCCTTCCTACCTTGTATTATTTCTTTATTTCTTTATTTTCTCAGACTAGATCAAATCTAACCAGACACAGAAGCTGGAGCAGAAACCATGTTCAGGCTTAGTATTTACCATGTCCACCCCCAGCCCTTTACCCTGTGCGTCACAGAGCCAAGGCTGAGGTCACAGAGTGTAGGCCAAGGTCCTGTGGTCACTGCCAAGTCCCCCTCAGTGCCAGAGCTTAGTCACTTCTGTATCTCATTAGAGGTCCAGGGGGCTATTCAGTCCAGTATATCCAAAAATACTATCGGCTTTAGTATAGAATAAATGTAAAACTTACTGGACAAAAAGGTTTTTACTGAGTCTTCGGAAGCCCATGTGTATTTTGTACTCAGAACACACGTCCGTTGGACTAGCCACATTCAGGTGCTCGGCTCCGCTGTTCAGGGGTGAGCTACCCCGTTAAGTAAGTACAGGATCTGTTCATCAGAGATGTGAGGCATTACCACCTGTCACACATTTTATTGGGACCTTTTCCCAGTCCAAAAGCTCTTCCTCCTCCTCCTGCTACTGTCTTTTTCTGATTTGCATTTTAATCCATTGATAAAGATGAGCAAAAGCCATTCCTAGAATTCTGTCTGACCATTTCCTTCAGTTTTTCTGTCTCTTGTAATTGAACTCTAATTTGCTTTTTAAAACTTAATTGATGAAAAAAATAAGAGGAACCACAGTTTTCTGTCTTGTCCTGCCTGGGTTTATTTTCTTTCCTCTCTTTTTTATGCTGTTAGTATCCACAAAGTATCTTGGAATCCTTGAAGACTGGGAAGGAACACCGTGCTTGACTGGTGCAGTCTTACTCAAACCCTTAATCTTTGGAGCAAGCCCTGACACTGTCCCCCGATGTTGCTTTCCCTTGCGGCAGGCGTTTTGTGTTCTCTGGGTGGGAGTTTCCCCCCAAAAGCTCCGTGCGGAGGGAGGGCTGGTTTCCACCCCCATCTCAAGCCCGATCTCTCTTCTCTAGTATACGTTCCTGACGAGTGGGAGGTAGCTCGGGAGAAGATCGCCATGAGCCGGGAGCTGGGGCAAGGCTCCTTTGGGATGGTCTATGAGGGCGTGGCCAAGGGCGTGGTGAAAGACGAACCGGAAACCCGGGTAGCCATCAAGACGGTGAATGAGGCTGCAAGCATGCGCGAGAGGATCGAGTTTCTCAACGAGGCTTCCGTGATGAAGGAGTTCAACTGTCACCACGTGGTAAGAGAAAGGCCCTAGGTAGCTAGCGAAGGTCCAACACCAGGAGAAGGTGTCCCCAGCGTTCGCCGGGCGTGTCCACCACCACACCTGTGGCTTTGTGTCCTGCCCTCCTCTGCCTCCTCCAGAGGTACCTGATGCTGAACCATGGCCTGCCACCCGGATCAAGGCCCCAGTGCCACACAGACAGTTCTAGATAGTGTGGGTAGCAGGCCAGACCACCCTCCTGCTGAGCCTTTCTCTTTTTGCCTCCACCCAGGTTCGGTTGCTGGGCGTGGTATCCCAGGGCCAGCCCACGCTGGTCATCATGGAACTGATGACACGGGGGGATCTCAAGAGCTATCTCCGGTCTCTGAGGCCAGAAATGGAGGTCAGTTTTGGTTTTCGCCGACTTTGTTATCCTGCCTGCTCTTTTTCCTTTAGAACTTCCATGAAGGAAAGTACTGTGCCTTTAAGTCAGTGTGCTTGGCAGCCTTGGGGGTTTCTTCTTGCACATTTGGTTACAGGTCCCTTAGGTAGAGGATTTCTCGATGACAGGCAGGTGTTAATCTTTGTGCCGGGGACATATGATTCCTCAGACCCCTGTCTGCATGGGCACCTCTGTGCCTTTGTGACTGCATTTCCTTCACCCCAGTCCCCTGGCCACCCACCAGGCCACGCCAGTGCTGCCCCTTCCCAAATCCTTGCCCCTCCAGCCATCACGTTCTCCTCTGCAGAATTCCTGATGCTCAGGACTCACCTAGCACCTGCCATGTCTTGCTGTGGCCCTGAGTGTATCCCCTCTCTTTCCCACTGCTTTTAGTTCTTTATCCCAGGCCCAGCATGGCGCTTAGGTAGCAATTAGGACCGGGGATTTAGCTCAGTGGTTCTGCTGCCTGCCAAGCAAGCACAAGGTCCCCAGTTCCATCCCCAGTACCAAAACAAATGTCAGTGATATAACATGGCACTTAGGGCCATGTTCTTGATTCTTTCCCTTGCCTCTGAGAAGTTCCTAATCCTGTGCACAAATCCGCATACTCAGGAGCCCACCACACACGTGCACACGTGCACACTCACATGAATGCATGTATGCAGGCAGCCCTTCCCTTACACCCTTACACCGTCAGTGATTTGTGCCTTTGAGACCAAGAAATAAGATTTCTTGAGCTCTGCTTCTGCACCTCAGGCTTGTGCTTTTGAATGATAATCATCTCAGCTGCACAGTCTCTGCCTAGTCTAGTAAGAATTTCAAATTCTAAGCCTGCTATAGTCCTGTGCAGGTTTTCAATATTCACTGTGGTGTCTCCCCTTCTGTCATATTAACCCACAAGCCAGCCTTTACCATATGCAGGCCTGACTTAGAAGTCATTAACTCTAAGAGCAAACTGCAGATAAATGCTGAGGAATAATGCCAGGAGCAAGTGCCTTTCATTGGCTGCCTCCCTGGGGCTGAACTCCTCCCTTTGACCTGACTTTGCTACTGGCAGCATGAGCAGTCTGTCTGTCTGCATTTCCTAGAAGCGGTGACTCCTCTTTTTTTGCCCCTTTTGCATTTCTGTTGCCATTCTCTTAAGTTTTTGTTTTCCTCTTTTAATCTGCAACTTAATCGTCTCCCCACTGACAGTTTCTTCATATTCATTCCAAGCACCTGTTCATAAATGACCTCATTTATTTACAGCACATGGTGTTTGGGTTGTGGGAAAGCCGGAAGGCCAAGTGTGGACCGAAGTTCTGTGCCAGGCAGTTGATAACTCTCCCAGATCCCTGTGTGGCAGAACCTCCTTTTCCTGGCTCACTTTAATCCACAGGCCACCCTGAAGAGGAAAACCTTGATCCAAGAGGTGACCAGAAATGTGGCAGAATACTTATTTAGCTGCCTCACTGGAGGAAGCACTTGTCCCTTTCATCCCCAGTTCAGGCACAGAATAAAAAATCAGAACTTGCAGTCTCAGTGCCGGGGCTGCCTTTGGCCACAGGTGTCCTTGGGCGGCCACAGCAGGTTCCTGGACTTCTGTTTCCTCATGTGTAACAGCTTGGATAAGACGGTTACTGAAGTCCTTTTCACATCCAAAATTCACCTGCAGATTTGTCAGATTTAAATTCTAATTCATATCAGGTGTAAAAAATATATATGTATAACTTTCAGTTTCATTATATTCTCCTTGCCTTGCTTCAGTTAAGATTTGCCGATGTACCTTGTTAAGTATAAGTGCAGGTGTATGTTTGTCTTATGCAGCTCTAACCAAATGAAAGATTTCTGCTCTCTTCAGTTGAGTGTAATACCATAAATTAACAATGTCAGGCCTCTCAACCCTTAAGATTAAGTTCCTTTTATTGATCCTGGTTTTTACGACCGCATGCACCTTTACTCGCCACCATCCCATTCCTGGTTCACCATGCATATTTAAAGCCCTGAAAGCATTAAAAGCAATGTTAAGTGTCAGAGGAAAAGCAAGTCTAAAGGTCCTGTGTGACAGACAGTGTGACTTTGGCTTTCCCGGCGATGTGATGTTACTTTCCTGAGTCACCAAGTGAGGGTACTGTGAGTTGCCAGAGACAATCTTGGTAGCCTCTCTGGAGCTCAACTGTTGTGCCATGGGACGTGGAGAACCAGTCTAGAAGTGCTTGAAGGTTGGTAGACTGCTTCTGAATGTGGCTTTCAGTGGAAACTCAGCCCCTCAGTGAGCTGGAGCGAACAACCACTGAGCCCCGGTCCTGGCCAGCTACCAGGCTGTCCCGCAGCAGTGGATCACTGGCAGAGTCCAGCCTGTCCAGACCCGAAGTTCTTGGCATGCTCTTGCCATGCTCTGGAGGCCTGAGCTGGGAAGGTGCTGGGTAGGAGCCATCAGAGCGAGGTGGTTTTACAGTGTTGCATGAGCTACTTTGCAGTTAGGAAATCCCCAGGAAAATCTGAGACACCAGTACCTACAAAAGCTAGTAAGCAGCTAAACTATGGGGTCATGTTTGGTTTTTGCATTCTTTTTTAGGGTTGAGAGCCTTGGTCATATATTTTCATAAATCTTTTTTCCAAACAGATTTGTTATTATTTAGGGATGACCCTTTCCCATTCCAAAGCCAGCATTTTGCCCTCCTCTGCAGAGAGGGGATGCTTATCCATGTTGCTTGGCACTGTTTCATGCTGGTCCCTCCACGGTGAGCTTCAGCTGGACTTCAGATGTCCTCAGTGCCCACAGAAAACATTAATCCAAGGTGAAGAAATCACTGCTGGTATTTGTATACCTTAGAAGAAAGCAGAAGGAAAAAAAGATTAAATATTCCTGATGGTGCTTATATGGGAAATAAAGTATGCAGTGTCCATTTAGGAAACACATTTGTATAACTCCATACAGCCTTTATAATGTGCTTGTCTTCCTTTTGCCTGCCCTTTAAATATGGAAATGAACACAAAAACTAATAGGGATCTGAGTAACTGAGAATCCCTACTATCAAAAATTCCTTTGTTTCTTTTTAAATACCCTTTGCCCTGTCCAAAATAGAAAATCCTGGTACCAAGTCATGCCTGTTGGGTCACCCTGTGTGTGATGTAGTCAGAGGCAGGCACGTGACTTTACCACCAAGCAGAGGTTGTGATCCTCCTTATAATACGTTCCTTCTGAGCAAGTCCAGGTTTCTTAGCAGACTAACCTGTGTGCTCAGATTGAATAAGGATGGATTTGCAACCCCTGAAGGAACTCAAGGTGAAAAAAGTCCTAAAATTTCTCAAGTGAATTTTCTTTTTAATCTCCAACAGAATAACCCAGTCCTAGCACCTCCAAGCCTCAGCAAGATGATCCAGATGGCCGGAGAGATTGCAGACGGCATGGCATACCTCAACGCCAACAAGTTTGTTCACAGAGACCTTGCTGCCCGAAATTGCATGGTGGCTGAAGATTTCACAGTCAAAATTGGAGGTGTGTCCTTTGCTTGAGCAAGAACTAAACCTACCAGTGGTTAAGGACCTTATGAGTGTTACCCTGCTGCTGGAGAGGTTTTTCCAACGTGTCTCTTGTGTGCAAAGACTTGAAATCGGTGTGATTGTCTCTGCTTGCTGATCAGTAACAAACCTACCTGGACTGGCTCTAATTCTCAGAATGCACAGACACAGTGGTCCAGGTAGTGGATGTGGTCCCCTTAGGTCACCCAGGCAGAACACTTCTTAGCATTGGTTACAGAAATCATTGAGACAGTGTCCTCAAGTTGGTTTTGACTTGAGAATAAAAGGCACTGTCCAATCTTACGCAGCTTTTGTATTGTGTAAAGAATACTTCCCCCACAGAGGTCCACAGAGTTTGCTAGGACACGAAACGCCCTAACAGTGAAACCCGTCGCGGAGCAGGAGCTGTGATGGGGACAGACATGCCCCGCCCAGGGAGGGAACATGACTGCTTAGTGGGTTTTGCACCCAGGGCTGGTGATCTTAGCTGGCAAACCTACCGGTTAGACCTCGTGTTGCCACCCACCACTGCAGCATCGAAGAAAGGGTTGGGCTAAGTTTCTAATCACTGCTTAGAAACTCTTTTCAGCCTTTCAGTTTTGCTCTGGACTTTTAATCCACCTAACAAAAACATATATAGTATCAGGGTTGCCCAGGAAACCACGGGCTGTTACCAGGACTTTTATCTTTCCGCTAAGATAGGATAATATTTAAGAAAAACACCAAATACTCACCCTGAGAAACTGCAGAGGAGACTTAGCATGCTAAGGAAAGGATTTCCGGTTGACGTCTTCATCTGGCTCTTGAACTCTGTGTTCTGGAAGTGTTTCCCTGCCTTTAACAATGCTTTTATTCCCTTTGGCAGTGAGTTTTATTAATGAAGTGCTTTGGCCCCCTAGTGGGCTATGAGCATCCCCCTAGAGTAGTTTCCGAACAGGGTGAGTGTCTTTCTTTTGCATTATATGTAGGCACTGGAGGTGCTGGGGTGCTGCTGTATCAGAGCGGAGACACAGTCATTGCAGTTATGCATCCAGATCTCCCAGTGTGTTCCCAAGCCAAGCCCCTCACAGGGCCCGAGCCCCCCGGGGAGGCAGAGGGAGCCAAGAGGACTCAGGGAAGAGCCATTCTTACTAGCTGGGCTTCCTTTCACCCCTTCTGCACTCCCCTGTGGGGATTCAGATTGTAGCTCCTCCTCCTCCTCCTCCTCCTCCTCCTCCGTGCAGGGGAGAGTGCCAGTGCGGCTGAGCTTCAGCTGCAGTCTGCCTTAATGGAGGAGGAGGCTGGCGCAGGTGTCTTCACTCTGTGAGCCTCAGTTTCTCCACTTCCCAGGTGCGGGCAGTGAGAAGACAGACCCCGGGAGGTTGTGGAAAGAACTAGGTGCAGGAAGGAACCAAGCATGTGGCCATGGGGGGCAGGGTCAGCAGATGTGAGCTCCTGTCCCCATCCTGTTCCCCCTCACCCTTCCTGGTACCCGGGGCCTCAGCCAAAGCTGCTCTTCTGTTCCACATCACAGTGGATGAAAGGCTTTTGGGGGCCACTTAGCGTTTTAATCCATATCAGCAAAGGCATGTTTATAGGGATGCTTTCTTTATACTTGTAGTTTTTCTTCCTAGGAGTGAAATTTCTGTGTGCATGTTTAGGAAGAAAAAAGTTTTTTGTGGAATTTCTTCTTTTCCATTTTTAAAGGTAAAGGCAAATCCTCTCATTTGCATGTCATGGGTTAATTCAGAGATGAGACGTTAGCACTTCATTTCTGTTCTTCATGAGCATTCAGAAATGTTTTCCTGGTGCCCCTTGTCTCATGGATTACAAACACGACAAGTAATTTTGCCGGAGGCGGTTTGATGGCCCTTAGCATAGTAGGAGGGAGCCATGAATGCGCTCTGTGTTTGCTTTTCAGCCTCACCTGTTTGTGGCAGGAGGTAGAGATGTGAATGGACATTTTCAAAAGTACAGCAGCTCTTTCTCCCCGGAGGCAGAATGGGAGAGTCTTGTGAGAAAAGGTTTTGTGATTGAGTGGAAAATCAAAATTTGACCAAGAGGCTATAATTTAGAATTGTACAGGAAGCCTGCCATCAAACCTAATTATGCGACATCTTCTAGAGATACAGAAAGTGGAAGAAAGTTTCACAAATGAGTGGGATATTTTGTTGAAGAACAGAGTTGAAGAATAGCTTCAGGGGCCTGGTCAGTAGTGTCCTTTAGCCTCTTGGATGTGCACCTTGTCACCTTTGTTACACTGAATATTTTCCCCTTTGTTAAGCAATGAAGTGCTTCACTTTTCCCTGGCACTGGGCCAGGCTACCAAGTAAATGAGACTCTGCAGTCTCATATATTTGATCAGATTTTTTGTTTGTTTGTTTTGGCTTGGGTTTCGTTCTTTTTGAGGTACTGAGGATTCAGCCAGGGCCCCGAGCTTGCTAGACAAGTGGTATACCTCTAAGTTTCATCCCCAGTCTTTTTTTTAATCTTTTATCTTGAGACAAGGCCTTGCTCAATGGCCTAGGCTGACCTTGAACTTGGAATCCTCCTGCCTTAGCCTTAGCTGGGATTACAGCCATGTGCCACCATGCTCAGCTTCCATGTCACTAATACTTGGTCTGTGCAGAACTTACTATCATAACAATCATGGGCCTAAGTAATTTGTAGACCACCTTGTATTTTAAATGCCATAAGGGAATTGGCTACTTGAAGGAACCAGATTATGAATGTATTAACAGCAAAGGTTTCTCGGTATTTGCTTGTCATGTGACTCATTGACCCTTTCTGTTTTTACCTTATAAACTGCAAACCCTAACATTGGGCCTCCCCTAAGTGAAGTATGCTTGTGTCTCACCTTGAATGTGAAGGTGGGAAGAGGCCCGTGGTGGGAGCAATGGTACCTTTGCCCCCAGAGCTGCCCCGACAGTGTGTGTAATTGCACTCCTTCGGTATACCTTTCAGATTTTGGGATGACACGAGATATCTACGAGACAGACTACTACCGGAAAGGAGGGAAAGGGCTGCTGCCTGTGCGCTGGATGTCCCCCGAGTCCCTCAAGGACGGAGTCTTCACCACTCATTCAGATGTCTGGTACGAGAGTCTTCTACGGCAAGACAAACCCGAGGCCCTCTGGCCTTGGCCATGTGGCCAAGTCTGGCTTGGGGACTGTCTTTCCTCCTGGTCTCTACTCATCACTGCCCATGTCCAGCTTTAATTCAGTGATGCAGGAGCAGCACTCCTTCATCTTTTTAAGATGTTCCTGTTGTCAGTGGGCTAGCTAAGGACAGAGGGCACTTGTGGGAATCCAGGGAATTTGTGGGACCAACAGTCTCTTCATTCTTGAGCAGATACCAGCTAGGCTTTTAGGAACTAGAGGATACAAGAGCCTGCCCTTCTCTGCTTCTCCCCTGCCGGCCAGCCCTGTCTTTGCCTCTTTTTCAATAGATAGGCACTGTGGGTGCACACATGCATGCCTCACTCCTTCACTCACTCTGTACATCACAGACAGTGCTTTTCTTAGACCCAAAACTACATGGGTCTTGATTGTGTTTCCTCTTGGTCCCATCTGTGCCTGTACTCTGTCCGCGGGCATCCCATGGTTGCTGACCCCTGGATCTTTATGCAAAGCAAAATGTCTCCCTTAGTAATAAAAATGTCTTCAGAAGCTCCTGGGCTGGGGGTGCAGACTTCCCTGTGGGATTGTTGATTGCAGTTCCTTGGAAATGCCATGCAGAGGCAGTCAGGTCTAAAACACAACTGAGGTTCTTGGCAGGCAAAGCCCTGGCACATCCACCTTCTAGAATGTCAGCAAGTATCTTGGCTTTCCTCTCGGGAGATCCCGTTGCTCTTGTGTTACAGAAATGGTAGTTGTTTACTGCAACTCTCTGGATGACCACACAGAGGAACTATTTCAGTAGTGACCGACATCATTTTTTTTAACCTCATGAACCTTTCATAGTCAAGGGCCTTGGATCTCATTTTGAAGACAGGTGCAAATTGGAAATAACTTTTGAATATGACCCAGCAAAGCCTGATCGATTCTTAAGCCCAAGGATCAGGACTGTTCTGCAGTCAGCTTGTCCGAGATGCTTAGCCCTTTTCTGTCAAGTCAGAATGCTCTGCACCATTTTTAGACTGAGGTGCAGGAGAGGGCATGCCTCTCTCACAAGTATGCATCTGTTTATTCTAGGCCAGTGATAGCGAACCTTTTAGAGCTTTCAGTGATAACAAACAGCCCACTGCGACATGCCTGCCATTGGTTCGCCACCACCATTTTAGGCTTTATGCCTCCAGGAGCTGCAAGGTCAGCTTGCAGGATGGGAACAGAAGCCAGTAGGAAGATAAAGCTGGGGTTGTTCACACCTCACAGGCTGTTTCTACCTAGATTCTGGTTAGTTGCTATTGCCGTGATCGGCAGGAGGGTGTTCCATGCTCATTTTCTCCCCTTTCACTGTGTGACCGTAATGAACCCATAAGGAAAAATACATAAGAGAGGAAGCATTTGGAAGTCATTCTTTTAACTGTTCAGACACTGAGTGCTTTGAAAGTTTCCTTCCTTACCTTTCCTTTTGTGTGTGTGTGCGCACGCGCACGTGTGTGTTTTACAGGGGAGGTAACCCAGGGCCTTTATAAACTATATTCCCAGCACTTTTTTTTATTTGGAGACAGTTCTCACTAAGTTGCCCAGGCTGGGCTCAATTTACAGTCCTCCTGCCTCAGCCTCCCAGAGTGCTGGGATTACAGGCATGTGCCACCACGCCCTGCCCTTTTTCTGCTTTTGTCATTTCGGTTTGGTTTGATTTGATTTGCTTCTTAACTTAGCCTTTGAGGATCAGTTGAAGAAGCCCAGCATATTGGAATATATGGGTGATCTCTGTAGCCTTGGGCTCTAGTCTGGAGCTGCCCCTCTGAAAACAATGGAAAGTACTTCAAATTGAATTCATCAGCCCAAAATAATGATCCTTCAGGATTTAAAATCTAGAGAAAAGTACAAAGAATTTTGTTTTGACTTTGTAAGAGACCCAAATATCTGAGGTCAGGAGGCACCTGAGATCAGGCTGGTCCTGAATTCCATCTACTGCATCCTGCACAGCAAGGGGCGAAGCTTCTCAGAGCCACCCCTATGGCGCCAGCCCACCTGACCTCAGGTCTGTGCCCTCAGCAAGCCTGCCTGTGTTTCCACCCTCCTTACACTCACTCCTGCACAGCCTCTCACCCCTCCTTCCCGATCAGACAGGCTGTGGGGCTGTCCAAAGACCCAGGTTCCTGCTGTCATCTGAGACTGTTCCTGGGCCCTTGGGTGCTTTGACTGCCCCCCCACCCCTCTCCGATAGCCCTTGGGGGTTCGAGGACACAGTGTGCCCTGGGCATAGAGCAAACCCATCAACGGCCTGGGCAGTGGGCCCCCACCACTCCTGATCACCCCTGAGCAGCCTCCATTCCCTGGCTTACTAAGAAACTTTCCAATATCCAGGGTTACTTGTTTTTTGGTGACTAATTCCCATCTGTGGGAAATGAAGGTCTCCCTGGGGCATCAGTTTGCTGGTGCCTGAGACACTGTCATCCTGCCCTCCTCATGTGGGGCAGCAAGGCATTGAATGCCAACCCCAGCCACACACCAGGGTTTGTCACCTGCGAAGACAGTGTAGTGTGTGTTCTGAGAGAATAACTTAGACACATTTGTCTGCTGTTCAAAGATGAAATCTGTCCACACAAAATAGAAGACTTATGTGAAGGCACTGATAACCAGCACCACGTAGTAAAGTGCCTGCTTTGAAAAACACATGGCAGTCGTCTATATCCCGGTGCTTCTGACTGGCTGCCTGCCCTTGGTCATGTCACAGGGCTTTGCTTGCTGTGTTCCTGCGCCCACTGTAGTACCTTGATAGGTGTTCGAATGGCTTCTGTGATGGCTGCCGTTGGATACAGATGGCATAGCCTCTGTGCCTTAGAGCAGAAGGGTGACAGGACACAGTTGTCACTTGGAGCAGTCCTAGAAGGGTCCCCACAGGCTGGAGCACAAGGCCTCTCTCAATGGCAGGTGATACTGACTGAGTCGCTCAGGGAAGAGCTTTTGTACCTGTGGCAAACCGGCTCTGTGGTCTCCTGTTTTATTTCATGCATGTGATTATGAGGACTTCTGAGTGTGGAAGTGGCAGGGATGACAAGAAACACCGTCCCTGTCTTCCAAGGATGAAGTCTTGGGAGCAAGAAGAAACCTGGCAGGTTGGGGCCAAAAAGCCTTCGTAGACAAGATGCAATCCTGGGGACATGATAAAGCAGGGATTGTCACCAGCCACCAAAGGAGGAGGGTTCCTGGCAGTGGGTATGCTCGGGGCAGGTGTGGTGATAGGAAGAGCTTGCAGATGAGAATGATGGGACTGCTTCAGGGAGTTAGGTTGATAGATCACATAAACTCTCAGATACCGTTGGGGATGCAGGACTAATTCTGCAGGCTCTTCCACGAATGTTAAGGTTGTGAAACAAGAGCGTGCCCGGGAGCTGCTGAAGAACTTTGCATTGACTAGATGTGGGGCTCCCTACATAGGATGCTGGAGCCAAAAATGAGGGGTGTGTTAGGCTGGGTGCAGAGGACTCCCCACACCAAGGAAGTGTTGGGGCCAGACTGTGGGGCAACCCTGCGCCTCAGCAAGCTGCGGTGGGAGCTTATGGAGGCCAAGAGCATTGGCGGAGGCCAGAAGAGCAGGGTGTGAGACAGTTCTGCTCAAGACAGGCGTGGATAGCCAAGGAGCCAGGAACTTGGAGTAGAGGTCTGCAGGTGGCAGGGCCCAGCTGGGAGCCCACCAGTGAAACCTGGCTGCCTGAAGCCAGAGACCCAGCCGGAAAGAACGTGTGAGGCAGGAGAAGTGGGCCCCGAGGGAACCAGAGTTGTCAGAGGATTCCCAGGCCAGCCCACTTGGCAAAGACAGCAAGCTCATTGTTTTGCGTGCTCCCCCCTTGGCCAGCCCAGGTCTTTTCAGTCCACGCTTTGGTTTCTGGGTCTTTGGCTCTGCTGGGTCTCTTGAGCAGCATGAAGGCTATTTCTTGGGCACTGACAGTTAGAAAAGACCTTGGGTTGGTCAGTCCTCTGGTTGCTAAGTTTCTATTTCTGTCTAACATCTGCTTTTAGTATCTATTTGCACAAAAACCTTTTTGTTCATAGAAAGGAATTAAAGCAGCCAACAAAACATTTTGATACAGAGTCAGAGCACCCCAGCTCCGCCCCACCCAGCTCCACCACAAGGCCAGGATCCCCAGCGCTCTCAGTGGGAAATACCCTGGCCATATTTCTGTAAGGTTTGCCCAGTGCTCTGAGGCTGGGTCAGGGCCCATCAGAAACCTTGCCGGCTGGCTGAAGTGACTCAAGTGTGAAGGCAGATGGACAGGGAGAATTTGTCAAGGGTGGGATAGCCCTGGGAAGGCACATTTGTTTTGCAGATTACAGCATGGCAGTGTGTGTTTGTTTGTTTGTTTTTTCTTCAGCATTATCTATCTGAAGTTTCTATGTATCTGTTTTAATTTGCTCTTCTGAACTCACAGGCAAAAGTGCATGCATGGCAGAACTGCTCACCGCTCTGCCTGCTGAGTTCCCTCCTCGCCCAGCCTCTGTGGGAGAGGCCTCTGTTGTCAGTGGGAGGTCCTACCCGCAGTCCTACGGTGCAGCCCACCCTGTTTTCTAGGCCGGTGACAGAGGCCTTCGAGCCAGCAGCTTCTGAGCTCTCTGGAGCAGGATCTTTTTTTTCCCTTGGCCTCAATGAACCTCAGGAACATTGTAGAGCTTTTCAATATGTCCAGGCCCAGGTCCCCACCCTAACCCATCAAATCGAGCTTCTTGTGGGACCCCAGGTATCAATCTGTTTTTAAAATGTCCAGGAGATTCTCCTGTGCAGTGGGTGTTGGGAGTAGAAGCCTCCAAACTGATTAGAAGAATCAGCTGAGGAGCTTATTAAGCTGTTTGATTGTCCCAAGTCAGTGTCCAGGATGGGACCTGGGGGATCTACATTTTTTAATTCTTGGGCTAAAGCAAGTTTGGGAGACACCATCCTGCCCAGGTAAATGGCTGTAGCTGGCACTTAAAGAGTGTGACCTAGATCAGGTGCTTCTGAACTATGCAGGGCCCACTGAAATCTCTGCCCGCCAGTGGCAGCTCCCTCCACTCTGCCACCAGAGCTACAGTCACGTGAACAGGAGGATAGATGTCCCACACTCAGCCCAGTGCCTGGCTCACCCTCCACCATGCACTGTCATTGCAGTGAGGACAGTGTCTCGGAGCTTAGGAGTGAAGAAATGCTGGAGGAGATGTCCTGCTGATCCCTGTCCAAGCTGCTCATATTCCTCTCTCCCTGTAGGTCCTTTGGAGTCGTCCTCTGGGAGATCGCCACCCTGGCTGAGCAGCCGTACCAGGGCTTATCCAATGAGCAAGTCCTTCGCTTCGTCATGGAGGGCGGCCTTCTGGACAAGCCCGACAATTGCCCTGACATGCTGTATGTATTCCTGAGCCCCCTCCACTCTCTGATTTCAGCTCATGAATAGCTTCTCCTGGGTCACGGAAGATTAGTAGTTCTGGGAGCCATGCTTTCTGGTCCTGTGGATGCAGAAGTAGATCAGAAAAGAGTTTGTTGATCCTCAGGTGAGGAACCCAGTTTGTAGGACCCGTGCCTTTCTGCAGGCACCTTGATACCACCCCATATTCCTTAATCTTTCATTTCGGATTTGCAATTTGCATTGTGGTTTCTCAGGCCCAGCGTCTACGTGAACTATCTGACCAAAGCATTCCTTGCTCATCCTTTCCATGCAAGGTTTAAAAAACAAGAAGATAATAAGGCAACACGTACTACTCAAGTCAAATTCAAGCGCCTCTCCCCAGCCTTTACCAGGCTGAGGACTGCCACATCTGGTGGGGGGGGGTTGTTTGTTTTTTGCGGTACGGGGGATTGAACTCAGGACCTTACACTTGTGAGGCAGGCATGGCGCCGCTGAGCTAAATCCCTGGCCCCACCGAGTTTTATGGTAAGGATTCATGGTGTGAACCTCAGTTCCAGCATAAAGGCACCACATTGGCATCACCCTCCAGCCCAGTTTTCTTCTCTGTTAAGTCACAAACCATCTAAGTGTCACCCTACGAAGCAGTGTGGACCAGCTGACCTCTCTGGAGACATAGCTCCGGGCCCACCCAGCTTTGGACACTGATGACTTTATCTGCTTATCCCTCTTCTTGTGAAAGAATACCTTCAGAATTCCTGGGAGCTGTTGGCTCATGAGCGTTCGTGATTCTCCTTGGACCCACTCACTGCTTAGCATTCCTTAGAAAACCCCCCTGCATTAGTCATCTTCCCATCACTGTTAATAAACACCTGAAATAATCAGCTTATAAAGAGAAAAAGGGTATTTGGGCCCACGGTTGTAGAAGTTCCAGTCCGTGGTTACTTGGCTCCGTTGCTTTGGGACTATGGTGAGGAAGCGCATCACGGCAGAAATGCCACTCTCCTCATAGCTGGGAAGTGAAAGTAAGCAAGGAGAAGAGTCTGGGGCCCCACTTCCCCTTCAGTGGCACACCTCCCGTGACCTGAGAACCTCACCAAGCTGAGGGCCAGAGCTGTACCACGTGGGCCTTTAGGGGACAATCAGCATCCAGACTCCAGCACCCCCGTGAAGGGAGGACTTGCTCTGCTTCCTGTTGGTGATGGTCCTTTGTGGCTCACTGGAGGTCAGAACTGCTGAAGGGGGAGGCCCTTGTCCTTCCTGGCCCAAGACAGAGGAGGGGCTGAAGTTGATCTGGTTGGGTTGTTAGGTGTGGGACAGGACTTACTTTGGCATGTACTTTAAGGAACCAATCAGGAGTTTTCTAGAAATGCTTCTCAGGACAGGTTCCACTTCACTTGAGAAAGGATCCCAGAGGACTTGTGTTTTTGTCTATATGAGATGTCACACAGATCTGCCTGCCCACCGGTCCACCCTTCCTCGGTGGAGCACAGACCCGTGGAGCCCCACTGTGGTGTGGCGGTGGTGTACAGGTACTGGTCAGATACACACATCCAGGGGGTACTAGGGAGCGGGCCCCGCAGGTAGGAAGCCTTGCTCGGTTGGTCTCTCAGTGTCTGTGTCCCAAGATCCAGACACAGTCTCAGCAGGGGCCAGGCTGCCATCCCACCAGAACCTTCTTCAAGTAGCTGGCAGGAGTTAGCCCCTTGCAGATTGTGGACTGAGGACCCTGTGTTCTTGCTGCTGGTCAGCTGAGGACCATGTTCATCCCCTGGAAACCAGTGCCGCATGAGTCCTTCCTATATGCTGCTCCACCAGCCCTCAAAACACTGCAGCTTATTTCCTCAAGACCAAGAAACTCTAGTGCTTCTACTGTTTCATAGCCAATTAAATCAGATCCACTCAGGATAATGTCCTTTTTGAGCAGCTCAGTGACCTTAGTAGAAGCCTAATTAAAGGAGTGAAACATCCCATCATATTCACAAGTCCCACTTCTACTCAGGCAAGGTATCTATGTGGTACTCACACCAAGGACAGGAATTTGGGGGCCATCTTAGAATCCCACAGCCTTAGAAGCAGAAACCATTGCTGTATCAGCAAACCAAAGCCTTCTGATGGTAAAGCACTTTGACTGTTGCTCCCAAGACTGAATGTCATGTAGAGCTGGCAGGCCTTGTCTCCCGGGCTCTGGCTGTGCAGCTGAAAGGCACATGGAGTGAAGGAGACTGGACACAGCCCCCCTGTGGTGCAGGAGTGAATTCGCTGAGTGCTGTTTCATTAGCTGCTGCTTGGGAACATTGGTCCAACTGCAGCCTGTTCTAACCCATGGGCACTTAGCATAGATTACGAAAGCGGTTTGTAGGGAGGGTCCCAGAGAAAGCCACAGGAGGCATTATCTTTTCCTGGGCTAGTGGTGGTGGGGGGTGCACTCCTCTGAGTCAGGCAGGGGCTGGAAAAATGAGCAAGCAGCCTGGGTGCCTTGGGCCTCGTGGGTAAAGCTGCCAGTGATTGAGCCTCTGGGTCTTCTGCAACCCTCATCAAAGACACCTCCCAGTACAGCCTCTTTGGGACTCTGAGCCCAAAGTTGGAAGAGCCCCAAAAGGCCACTCAGAATATTTTATTGCCCAGCACAGAAACACCCTCTTCCCGACCTGTGCCCAAAACCTAAGAGTCAGAAATACTGATAAGCATTTATTTTGTCACAGGGTTTCTGTAGGAGGGGACCCTGGGAGCAGGGTAGTGGCTCTTAGACTCTGCCTCCAAGTCTCCCAGGAGGTTGCAGTCCAGCTGTCAGTGGGGCTGCAGTCATCTGAAAGCTTGCCTGGAGTAGCAGCAGATCCACTTCCAAGCCACCGATGTGTCTGTGCACCATGTGAGGCCTCGGTTTCCACGTGGGCCTCCTCATAACACTGCTAGAGAGTCCTCCTGACACGCAGCTGGCTTGCCTTCCAGCAGGGCTCAGCAGACTAAAAGGCCAGCTAGTAAATGTTTTTGACTCTGTCCGCCAAAGCTTGATTGCAGCTCCTCAGCTCTGCTGCAGTGGTATAGAAGCAGCCATCGAGATCACATGACCAAGGGGGTTGTGCTCCATAAAACTTTAATTTTGGATACTGAAATTTGAATTTCACATAATTCCATGTTGCCACTAAGTATTTTTATTTTGATTTTTTTTTTTTCCCTGACCATTTACAAATGTAAAAGCCATTCTCAGTTCCGAGGCCTTAGGAAGTCAGGCAGGCACCAAGCCAGATTGGACCCATGGGCCTGGAGACTGCCTGCCCTGCCCTGCCCTGCCACCTGTGATCCACAGCAGAGTAGACACCACAGCGGGCTCCACCAACTCCTCCAGGTTACACGGTACTGAAGGAGATGGCCTGGAGAAACTGGGGGCTCCAGAGGTCTGCTCCCACTGCCCGCACCTGCATTTACCCCTCACAGGTGACCGGATGCTCTGCACCTTGAACAGCACAGCCTCTGCACTGGCACCAGGCCATCTCTAACAAAACACCTCCTGCAGAGCCAGAATACAAGTAATGGAGTATGAGCACTCATGCCTACTGAATTTGCATAAAGGTGCATGGTGCCACATTGAATTTGAACGCTCAAATCAGTGGTGTGTAGCAAGCTTAGCAACAGTCCAAGAGGGCAGGTGTGGGTTTTGTTCATGTGGTTTGGGGCTGGTCACAGCAGAGGTATTGTTTTTGTATTTTCTCTGACTCAGGTAAACATTTGTGTCTGGGAAACTTGCGTGACTCTTGAAGTTGATCCACCTCCAGATGACTAGAGTTTGTTTTTTGTTTTTTGGTGGGGTTTTGGTACCGGGGATCAAACTCGGGTCCTTGCGCTTGCAGGGCAGGTGGCGGCACCTCTGAGCTAAATCCCCAGCCCTGGAGTTTTAATATTAATTTAATATGCCTGGGAAGCAGCCTACCTGCCATGGGAAAGGCAGAGGACTTCCTGTTCCCAGCACAGAGTGAGGAGGAAGTTTACACAGAAAGGTTGCTCTTGGGTGTGAAATGTTTAATTCGGAAGGCATTTGTGCTTTGCCATCCAGACCCCCCTTGGCAGGTTTGCCTCCCTTCTAAGAACAGAAGGAAGGGAGGCATGCTGGTTTCGTAGGGAGTATCAGGATGTTGTTCTTGTGAATTTACTGATGAGCTCAGGGGAGGAAAGAGTGTTCTCAGAGCGGGGTTCTTTTGTTGCATGAAGTGAGAGGATGAACTATGTTTATTCCAGAGGAGGAACTCTGTTTATCTGTAAGGCCTTGGAAGTTGCCTGGATCCTTGTGGGTCTCATGTAGGAGAGAAAGTGCTTCTTCCACTGTGTGGTTTGTGCGGGGGAGGCACTTGCTGGTGATGTGGTGGTCACTGAGGGACTTCTGCTCAGCCTCAGGAAGACCCTTCAGCGGTTTGGTCATGCCTAGGCTAACACCCATCCTTCATCATCTCAGAGTCTTCTGGATGTTGAGGAAAGATCACAGGCTGAGACCTCTGGGGTGTTCCAGTCTGTGAGCCCCCAGGCCAGGGTTCCAATTGAATTAACTTAGCAAGTCACGTATGATCAGGTACAGGCTGCGGTCCCCCACTGTATTCAAGTTTTAAATGGAAGACAAAGCCCATCCTCAACCCTCTCCTACCCTCAGACCTCAAGCCACAAATATCACTGAACCCTCTGGGTGCATGCCGGCTGCTGAAATCACAAAGATGAGTAACGAGTAGTCCTGGATTTCACGAAGGCCAGTGATGTGAAAGGCCCCAGCTCTAATGATGCAGGATATGGGGATTTGAGCTTAGCAGTAAAAACCCATTGTCTGGATAGCATTTCCATGGCCCCATGTCGGGTCTTCAGCATGTTGGAGTCAGGGAAGAGCTTTAGCCCAGATAGGCACTCAGAGGAATCTGGGCAGCTTTCAAACTTGGGTTTTCCTTTTGCTGATGAAACCCCCTCATTGCTCAGACTCCTGGGCGGCATTTGCAGGAATCAAGGGCTTGAGTCCAGATAGGCAGGAATGGCTGCTCCTGCCCAGTGATCAGAGCAGGAGCTCTGCCTCAGCACTGGGCCCACAACTCCCTGCTGCAGGTCCTGGATTGGAAGTGGCTCCTAAGACAGTCCTGGCTGTTCGGGCTGCCCAGGGGCACAAACTCAGCCCTGCAGGACCTCTCAGGAACTCGGTCTCTGGTGAGAGTCATTGCCAGGCTGAGGCTGTGCCAGCATGAGGCAGCAGTGCTCAGTCCTGAGCTACCTAGAGCACATATCCCTGACCACCACACAGCCCGGGCCGGGTTTGCTCTGGGAAGCTGCTGCCGAGCAGGGCAGGAGCTCCCTGCGGCCCTGGGAGGGAAGTGTTCAGTCAAGCACAGCTCAGGACTCGCCAGGGCTGACCAGTGGTTTTTTAAAAAGTACTTTTTAAAAGAAGACTTTTATCAGCTCATAAATCCTTCTAGAGTCTCCTGGAGAGTTTTCTTGGGGAAGTAACGTAAACAAGGTCTTGATTCCCACAGAGTGGAAAAAGACTTCCTTTTATGGGCAGCACTGGAAGGGCTGTGGCTCTGGAATGATTTAAAAGCAGGGTGACATGGCTTGTTTGTGTTGATGTCACCACTTCACTGCCCTCCTGGTGGCACCTCCTCAGCCCCCGGCCACGGGGCACAGGGCCAGACACAGCTCATGTTCCTGGCCCAGCTGTGCTTCTATTCAGGGAGAAGTCCCTCAGCCTGAGCGGAAGTCACAGGCTGGCGATAGAGAGGTGCCCCTTGTATTTATTGCCCATTTTAATTAATGTTTTTGGACTTGGTCTTTGTTGGGGGAAAGGATGGGCATGTCAAGGCAAGCCTGTGTGCCTGCTGACATGCAGGCGTTGTCAGGAGCAGGGACAGCGCACTAGGCAACCTTCCTGTGAGTGTCCAGGGGCAGCCAGGACAGGGTTGTCTCCCGAGGGGACTGGGTCACCCATGCCCACTCCACCCTGTTTGTGACCTTGCACAGATAGTACAGTCTCCTGGTGCTTCTTTTGCTTTCCACGTGCGAGGGATGTAGGCTATATAATACGCAGCGCTGCGCCTCCTTCAGAGACTCAGGAGGACCCAAGCAAGCACCATACCAAGAACTCACTGCGCGACACCCTCATGCTCAGCACTGCCCCCGGCTGGACTCAGAAGGGAGAATAATTCATCTGTCTCCTTTTGCCCCGTTCTTTTTCTTCCAGATCAGGGGTTGGCCACCTTGTTTTGTAGCGAGCCAGACAATAAATATTGTGTGCTTGCAGACTAAACAACCTGGTTCTAACTATTCAGCTGGCAGTTGGATTCTAAAAGAAGCCACAGGCGACATGTAAATAAATGGGCTACCAGCAGCATCTGGCCCACCTGTAATTTCCTGACCCCTCTGGCCCATTCTTGCCCTCCCCCATGGTCACTACCCTCTGCCTGACCTGACCCAGCGTGACCCAAAGCCTTCTAAGGAAGCCGGCCAGGTGGGCAGGGAGCCTGCCTCTCTGTCCACAGCTTCCACACTGATGGGGTGTGGTTATGTTGGGGTCTCACAGGGCCAAATATAAGTAGGTCTCTTGGCCACGTGATCCGCCTGACAGAAGGCTAGGTGTCAAGGTGGGGTGCTTTGCGTTTCCCGGACACAGGGAGTTCCATTTGGCCATTTTTATTGGATAGCATCTCTTTAGCCAGCAGTTTTAAAACAAAACAAAAGGTATGCCATCCCAGTAAGAGCAGAGATTGGAAGGAAGGGCCTGGGTCACCTGCTCAGGTCAGAGAGACCCACTGGGCCACCCTCCTCAGCACCACAGTCTTGGTCAGCTCCGACCTTGCTCCTTCGCCTTCTTCTTTGCCCTCAAGGTCTCTGTTTCCCACATTTGTCAGAGGCCCAGCCCATGGCTGGGAAGGCTCCCTGTGGCCCGTGTGACTCAAAGGGCTTCTGGGTTTGGTGGCCTAGCTGTTGTGACTGAGGCTCAGCACACCTTCATGCTCTGTTCTCTGCCTGTGCCTTGCTTGTGGACAGGACTCTTGTCCAGGGAGCTCCTGGCGGGCTTGTTGGAATCTGGCTTAAGGTCTCCATCTTGACTCATTTGCTTCAGCACAGTCTGGATCCTGACCCCGCAGGCAGGGGCTGGATTGAGACACAAACCGGCGGGTGCACTCCTTGGGTCTGGCAGCCCCACCACCACCTAAGCTTCTGCCAGGGCGGGCCTGTCCCAGGTGGAAGCTTAGAAACAGCATCGATGGGGCTCAGGAAGAGATCACTGTCGGGGAGGCTGCCGTTGCCTCCCACCCTTGTTAGTGGGAGACAGAGGCGCCCTGCCTTCTCGTTCTGGAAAGGATGTTCAGTGTTCACGGGAGATGCTTCAGCCGGAAGCTGCTTGTTTATAAAAACACTTAGCACTGTCACTGTCGATGAGCCCCATTGTGGCGGGCTCTGTGTGAGCCGAGCTTGGTCCTTCTCAGGCAGTGAAGTTTGGGGTTTTGTATCACGGGAAGGACTGAGTTCTGGGCAAGGTGAGCTGACAAGTGGGAGGGAAGAGATAGAAAGCCAGAGCCTCCGAGCGGCACGAGAGCAAGTCTCCCTTCCGCCTGTCTCCCCCTCAGGTTTGAGCTGATGCGCATGTGCTGGCAGTACAACCCTAAGATGAGGCCTTCCTTCCTGGAGATCATCAGCAGCATCAAAGACGAGATGGAGCCTGGCTTCCGAGAGGTCTCCTTCTACTACAGCGAGGAGAACAAGCCGCCCGAGCCGGAGGAGCTGGACCTGGAGCCCGAGAACATGGAGAGTGTCCCCCTGGACCCCTCAGCCTCCTCGTCCTCCCTGCCGCTGCCCGACAGACACTCAGGACACAAGGCCGAGAATGGCCCGGGCCCCGGAGTGCTGGTCCTCCGCACCAGCTTCGATGAGAGACAGCCCTACGCGCACATGAACGGAGGGCGCACGAACGAGAGGGCCTTGCCGCTGCCCCAGTCTTCAACCTGCTGATCCTGGACCCCGCATCCCGTGCAAACAGTAATGTGTGTGCACGCTCAGCGGCGGGTGGGGGGAGAGAGTTTTAACAATCTGTCCACAAGCCTCCTGTACCTCAGTGGATCTTCAGAGCTGCGCTGCTGCCCCGGAGACTGCTTCTCTGCAGTCAACACCTTGGGATGTTCCTTTTCTCAATATGCAAGCAGCTTTCTGTTTCCCTGCCCAAGCCCTTAACTGACACGGGCCTCTGAGAACCTTAATGACAACACTTAATAGCAACAGAACACTTGAGAATTGAGTCTTCTCATGCTCTTTCCTCTCTCTGTCTCTTTCTCTCTGTCTCTCCTTTTTCCTTCTTTTTTCTGCTTCATAATGGAAAGGTGTTTGCTGCAACCTGGCTGGAAAGCCCTTTTTGTCAGATGGAGGAAACGGCTGTCTCTGGGGCCCCACATCAGCCCTGTACACACCTGCCTGGCACCATGGGTTGTTACCTCTCTCACACACATGCACACACACACACACACACACAGATGGAAGTTTTTTAAACTATATCCATAACCTTTTTAAGGCCACCTAAAATTTTAAAAGGGCCATGGTTTATCTACGGTAGTTACCCTTTTAACGCTGCCAAATTTTGCCAAAATCCTGAACTTTCTCCCTCATGAAGCCCACACTGATTTCCTTCTGCCCAGAGGCATGGGGTGAGCACAGTATCTGTAACTCCACATAAGAGGCGTATTGGTGAAACACTCCATCCAACTGTCCCAGGTATGCTTTCCAAGCCCCAGTGCAGCGGGGCTCCCTGCTTTCAATGACTAGGTTATTCTCTGGAGGAACTGGACAGAAGGAGACTTTCTCTCATGAAGATGGGAAAGGCTGGGGGCCTTCCCAACCCCCAGCTCTGCCCCCAAGGATTCTGGAGGAAACAGACCAAGTGAGCCTGAAAGCCTGGCCCTGGTGCCAGTCTCCCCGGGCCCTTCCTGACCCCCGAGGGACGCAGGGGGGAAGGGGTTTCCAGGGACTCAGCCCAGCCATTGACGCAGGTGTGCAAGGGAAGGGACTGAGACGCCACAGCAGTGAGCAGCAGCGCAGGCAATGGATTCAAGCATTCTAAGCTTCGTTGACATTTTCTCTGTTACTAGGACTTCTTCATGGTCTTTCAGTTCTATGTTAGACCATGAGACATTTGCATACACATCGTCTTTAATGTCACTTTTATAACTTTTTTACGGTTCAGATATTCATCTATACGTCTGTACAGAAAAAAAAAAGCTGCTATTTTTTTTGTTCTTTATCTTTGTGGATTTAATCTATGAAAACCTTCAGGTCTACCCTTCTTCCCTTTCTGCTCACTCCAAGAAACTTCTTATGCTTTGTACCAGAGTGTGTGATTTTTCTTCCTCTCCTCCCAGTAATTGATACTTCTAGAACCTAATTGCCATGAACTGTTGGATGCCTTTTTAGAAAACCCCCCGCTCCCCGGCGCCCAGCCCATTCTCTGTCTTCTAACCCTGTAGGCTCTGTGGGCACGAGGCAGGTGAGGGACAGGGGCAGACCCGGGGCTCGGGCCCAGGCCTGGCCCCCTGTGCCTCCCACGGCGCTGGACCCTGTCACAGCGCAAGACATGACGCAAACTCAGGTCGGAAATCGCGAGGCTGAGCATCTCACGTGGCCCTGCTCAGTGTGTGTGGTGCCCATCGTTGATGAGTCTCACCTGCTCTTTCCCTTCCCTTGCCTTTGGTTTGTGACACAGACGTTTTTTTTAATTCTTGGGTACAACAGCAGTTTTAACTGCAGACACGAGGCATTTGGATTACTATTTCTTTAATGGATATTTAATCCTTCCATCCCACGGAAAACAGCTGCTGAGTCTCAGGGTGCAGCAGAACGTGGCCAGCAGGCCCCTCTGCCACCCTGTGCCACACCCTCACCAGACCGACCTCCCTGTCTCTAGAACCAGAGCATCCCACAGGACCTGTCCACCCTGGCAGGGAGCGGGACCCCGGCGCCCCAGCCAGCCCAGGGGCCGAGAGCCCACCGCCAGGTCTGCTGCTCTGAGTGCCAGGGCGGGCGGCCCAGAGCGCTCTGCCTGCTCCCCAAGGACCAGAGCCCTGGCACCAGCTGCCGCTCCCTGGCTGGGAATCCCAGCCCTCGGGCCTGGGCTCCTGTTTTGTTTACTTTTTAGCGCTTCGCATGGGAGTGATGACAGCACAAAAGTTGCTTCTGGGATGGAAATGTTTAGATTCCTAGTAAGGACAAAGCTCAACGATGATGATTGCTAGTTGTGACTGGAGATTAAACACAAAAAAGAAAGTTCATAGTGCTTGCTTGCCTGTGAGTTCCAGGCTCCAGACCTCCAGACTTCCTCATGGCCTCTGTCCCACAATGTTTTCCCTTAAAAGAAAAGAAGAAAAAGAAAACAAGGTAATTAAGAAGGTATCGTATGTAGGAGTCTTTTAATTTATTTTGTGATACCAGTTTTAATCACTGTAGAAAAGCCCCCATTATGAATTTAAATACTGAGGAAAGGGTGCGTGGTTGTTGAGTGTGTGTGTGTGTGTGTGTGTGTGTGCGTGTGTAAAAGACAGGACAGTTTTTGGTTTTTTGGGTGTTTTTGTTTTTTCAAACATTGATCTACCTCACTCTTATTTTTTATATGTGTATATAGAAAAAAAAAGAATACATCTCACATTTCTCAGCACCTGACAGTAGGCCACTGATACTGGTAACCTCATCCACACCACAGGCCACACACCCAGGTGTGACATGCAGGAAGAGGCCAGGCTGTATTCCGGGGTCAAAGCGACACTAACCCCCTTCTCTGCTCGTTTCAGACAGCTTGCCTTTTCCTGGGATGTCTTGTACTGCTTTTTTCTTTCTCCTAACCTGGTTCCTTCAGAGGTTGTGAGGTATTAGGGTTTCCTTGTTCCCGGCCCTGGCCTAAGGAGGACACGAGAACATGCTCTGGGGGCCAGCCCCCTGGCTGTCTCTGGCCAAAGCAAAGCTGCTTTGAATGACCAACCCGTGTCACCAGGGAGGGAGCAGGTGTTCCCCAGGCTCTGAGGACAGGAAGGTGGCCACGAACTGCACTCTTGTGGGGTGCTGGGTGAGTCCCCAGGCTGCTCTGGTGGGGCTTGCACTGAGTCAGGGATGTGCCACTGCTGCCGCCACCTTTGCTCTACTTAAGGGCGCAGCCCCATCAGCAATCAGAGAGCTCAGTCCTCCCAACCTGCTCCAGCCAAGCTGATACAGAAAGGAGAAGCCCCTCCCCTCTGCCACCTGCTGTCTCGCTACACCTTCCTGCCCCTCCCTGGGGAAGCACCAGACCTCCTTGGGGCTGGATGGCCAGTGGTCAGCGCTGGCCGCCTCCATGGTGGTGCACCTCTGTCCACCCCGCCATCCTGCTGCTCACGGGTGGACGGTGCACTGTCCAAGCCCAGCACCTGCTCTCACAGGCCCTGGGGATGGTACCTGGGAAGCGCCAGGAGTGGTTTCCCCACACGTGACGGCCCCTCCCAGTTGCAGCACTTGATGATGCCCAAGAAGGAGCCTTTCCGCTTGCAGGAGCGCTGGCCTTCCCTCCCACGTCTCCAGGATCTTAAGGTCACTGAGAAACACTTAACTGTTGGATCAGGGTTTTCTTCTTCCACACTGTAGGTGACCCCTTGGAATAGTGGCCTTGCCTCTCTTTTGCACATACCTGCCAGTTCCCACAACTGGATTTCTACAGATAATTCAACTGGTTATAAGGGTTTTGTTTAAACTGTCCAAGTTGTTGGTGTCATTTTGTTCTTGTTTTATGTAGATGGTTTTTCTTTTAAGTAGAGAGGAAACACTAACAGTATAGTGCTCATCCTAACAAATGCTTCAGAAGCACTTCAATAAAGGAAAATTTTGTTTGTGTGCTGGTGCAGTCATTTTACTGGACCAACCCACCCACCTTAACTCTACCAAGGCATCATGTATCCACAGTTCTAGCCTCATTTTATGCTGATTTTCCCACCTCTTCTTGATTTTCTCTTTTGTATGCTCCAAATAATCTAATCAAGCTAGTTGTGGCATTTTCCAAGCAACCTCCTCCTGACAGCAGCAGCTCACACTGCTTGAAGTCACGTGAACCACTGAGGCACCTCGCTGAATTGTGAGCATTGAGACGTTCTCACACAGCCCTTCCCCAAGGGAGGCTGCAGGAGCTGATGTCTTCTGGAGCTAGTGCTGAATTTGAGCTGTGTGAGGCCTCCTCTAAGGGATGCCATGGCATTTGACACACAGTTGGAATGAGCTTCCTCGTTGGAAGATAGAAGACTGTGTTTGGGGCTGCCGCTGGCCCCTCCTTCCAGCCGGTTTCTTAGGCTCAGGACAACACTTCAATGGTGGGAAAAACGGCTTCATAAGATAGAAAAGTAGTTACTGTGAAACTACCAAACGGCAGAATGCTTGCTTGGTGTGACATGGTGTGTTCTGGTTGGGATAATGAACTGACAAGCCATATATGATGCCAAATTCTAGGCCAGTCTGATCCACCGAAGCCGCCTTCTCAGCAGCCCACCTCTGTGGCCATGGCCGTTCCTAATACAGGCGGCTGAAGTGGCAGTGTCACACTGAGCTCAGGTGGGTGAGAAGAAAGCTAGGATGTTCATCCCAGGTCCTCAGCTGTCACTGTTGGGCCCTCCCAGGATTGGCCAGACAATGTTGAAGGCAACTCCTTTCCCAAACAGACACCTTCCGGTTGGCAGCAACACTCCATGGTAGGCCTTGGCCCATTCCAACAGTCCCAGTAGTGCATTTAAGGTTAGGGGTTTGTTCCTTTGTTAATGTTGCTTTTGTGTTTGTCAGCTGTCTTTTCATTTCCTGGGCTAAGCGGCATTGGGAGACATGGACCCGAGATCCGCTCTTTAAGAACCAGTGAGAAAAGTCAAAACTTTCTTCCTCCACTCTGAACTAGTCGGTGGTACAAATGAGAACTTCAAGAGAGGATGTTGTTTAGATTGAGCCTCTGTTGCCAGAGATGCTGAAGATACAGACCACGGGGCTTTATTTTTGGCCTCGCAACTTGGATGACTAGTGCGTCATTTAGAGGAAGGAGCACTCCTTGATGGTGGCACGGCCAGGCAGAAGGAAACCATTGTTCACAGGGGTCAGGACACGGAGAGAAATAACAGGCAGAAAGGTACAGGGCTTGGAAGAAGCGGGGGCCGTGGATTGAACTTGATGGTTTCCAAAGGAATCCACCCACATCAAGGGTCCACAGTCATCCATGGGCATTTGGTTTCAACAGTTAAACCTAACATCCTGCTCTGCAAACTTATCACAGAATTAAGTCACAGTGTATAAGAATATGAACTGCATCGCACTCGCCAGTTGTCAGTTCTGGGGCATGACTTTAGGGCTTTGTTTTATTTTGCTTCTATAAGAACATAATAATCACTCATTTGTATGTCCACGTTTCTGTGTCTGCATCTTTCCGGTAAGCATTTTTTAAAAATTAGTCACTCATTAGCATTTCCAATAGGGCTCTTAAGTCCAGTAGATTACGGGTAGTCAGTTGACGAAGATCTGGTTTACAAGAACTAATTAAATGTTTCATTGCATTTTTGTAAGAACATAGAATAATTTTATAAAATATTTGTAGTTGATAATTGCCGAAAATAATTTAAAGACACTTTTTTTTCTCTGTGTGCAAATGTGTTTGTGATCCTTTTTTTTTTTTTTTAGGACACCTGTTTACTAGCTAGCTTTACAATATGCCAAAAAAAATTTTTTTAAAGATTCTTTTCCAAACCCGAACCATGGTTCACCCTCTTTCTCCCCATGCTTTGTGCCCTTGTTTATAACAAAGGAATGATGATTTCAAAAGTACTTCTGTATCTTCGGTATCTTGGTCTTCTGGAACCCTCTGGTTGGTTAGGGGATCGTCTTCTGGTCATTTCCCCTTGCAGTGTAGCAACTTTAAGGGATGGAGAGAACCTCACTGGCTGTGGAAACGGCACAGGTCTTCTGCCCTGTGATGTACCACACTGCTCAGCATCTGGCCTGGCTGGCTTGGATATTGTCATAGTCCTGCAGTGCCACAGTGGTGGAAGGACTTCTCACCACAGCAAATGGTTTTCACAATGACCACACACACACAAAAGCAGAGAGCACCCAGGCCATCTGCATCTATGCCTCGTACCATGTCAAATGCTTTGTCCTAATGAGCAAGTGACCTTATTTATTTTTATCTAAGGCAGAACACTGATGATACATTTTTCCCATACAGAACAAATTCTTTTGATAAAAACCACAACAACACATCCACCCAAAGTTTTTTTAAGTTTGACTCCATGTCCTCTAGCTCCCAGTGGATTATTGGCCATGTCAACACAACTCCACAAAATCCCTGTTTTTGGAAACATCTGGAATTTTTGCACTCCATAGGAGAAAGGTCCAGAAACCATCTGGGGTTTTTGTTGTTGTTTTCAACTTCTTATTTGGTTGGTTGGTGCTGTGTTCACACATCCACAGGTGGAACAGATGCCCGGTGAAAACACCTGTCTGTTTTCTAAGCCAGTGAGGTTAAGGTGAGAGGTTTGCCAGAGTTTGTCTACCTCTGGGACTAAAAAAAAAAAAAAAAAAAAAAAAAAAAAAAAGGCGCAATGGAATGGATGTATCACTAATAATGCATTGTCTGAGTTCTCTTGTTTTAAAAAAAAGTTTTTTTAAAAAAAGTAAAAAAAAAAAAAAGATGGCCAATTTGTTACATAAAATGACCTTGTGTATAAATTATTCCTAAAAAATCTTCTGTTTATATGAAAAATCAGTAGATGAAAAAATTTCAAAACGTTTTTGTATATTCTGTTGTAAGAATTTATTCCTGTTATTGCGATATACTCTGGATTCTTATGAAAAAAAAAACTATTTTGAATGGCTGAAGCTAAGGTGACTTTATAGTTTCTCTTACTCTGCTTTTTTCTAGTAAAGTACTACATGATTTAAGTTAAATAAAAATTCTGTATGCACTTTTTGTGTCCAATTTTCTTCCTTCTCTTTCTGGAACCATCACTACATTTCTGCGGCAAGGGAGCCAAGCTCAGTGTGACGTGTGTTCACACGTGTCACTTGGAAGTGTTCTGCGAGAGAGCGTTACCCAGTTTCTGTCATCTGAGCACTCTATGCACATTGCTAGAGCCAGGAAGCTCCTCTCTCATTCCACTAAATCTTCTGGAGGAAAATCTGAAGACAGAATACAGAAATTTTTACTTCATTTTTGACTGATTTGTAGCATCTTCTTTCCTACATTTTCCACTGACAAAAGTCAGGCCAAAGGTTTGAGCTGTCTGACTCAGGGGCAGAGCACAAAAATGCTTCTCTTCTCACGACCTTGTGGGTGGCCCAACTTGGAGGGCACCCATGAGACCCACAAAGCCCCACATAGGACGTGGCTTGCCACAGGTGCTCCAACACAGTAGTCTCTTTTTAGCTGGTGATTAATGAGCCCTGCCAGCCCCCAGGGACTCCACGATCTAATCATCATCTTTGTCCAGGAAGGGGGTGAGGCGTGGTAGGAAAAGGAAACGCTGTAAATGCCTTAGAATCAGACCACATCGGCATAGTCACAACACCTGGGTGACAAAGCTGGTCATTCAGTAAACTGTGATCGTGGGAAATTAAACTGCAGCAACAAAATCAGGCTGTTAGAAGAAGAGCTAAATAGTTGGACACAATAGAAGTAAATCAAAGGCCATGGTTATCCAAGACCTGGTGAGTCTCAGGTATAGATTGTAAAAGCAAAAAGCATTTAAAAAGCTCTTAAGAGACAGCACTGTCAAGCTCGGTGCTGGCCTAGGGGTCCTGCACACTGTGGTCATCCAGAGCCTGACAGGTGGGGGACTTCCTGTAGGGAACCGAAGAAGGTCTCATGTCCAAGGCTAGGTTGTCACAGTCTCTGACAAAGCTAGAACACCAGTTTCTGAGGATGAAGACAGTGGACCCTTAGATGTTAGAACCTCTGCTCTGTGCCACCTCTTAAGAGTACTAAGAGGGGCTGTTTCTGTGTTTACCCCGCCCCCAACCTGTGTGTTAGTCTGTTTTGCATTACTATAACAAAATACCCAAGGCAGGCTAACTTCACAAAGAGAAGAAGTTTATTTGGCTTACAGTTCTGGAGGCTAATGAGTATGGTGCAGGCATCAGGTTGCCTCTGAGGAGACCCTCCTGGCAGGAGCTCATATGGGAAGAAGACATCACATCTCAAAAGAGGAAGTCAGAGAGCAATTCTGGGTTTTGCTTACTCTTAACAACAATTCGCTATAAGTGTTCAGGGATCCCGAAGAAGTTCCTTAATCTCTCTTAAGGGTAACTACCCCAATGACCTAAGGATCTCCCATTAGGCTCCGCCTCTCAAAGGCCCTACCTCCTCCCAACAGCACCACACTGGAGGGCAAGCTCCCAACACATGAACCCGTGGAAGACCCACTGGGACTATAGCAAGCTATGAGGCCACACTCGGCTGTGTGTTTTAGTAGTGTTTTATTGTCGATGAAGGCCTTTCACATCCATTGTCTTCACTGGATGTTCACAAGCACTCTGCAATGGCAGGCTTTATTGCTCTGTTTTACAGCTGCACACATGGACATGTCCCAACCTCCCTGGCTATTAAGTGATCAGGGCTCAATCTTTTATGCTACCATTTTCAAACAAACTGAACTGCCCTGTAGCAGCCATTGCTGAACAGGCCCTGTTGTAGATCAGCAGGGATCTGGGACATACACAGAGACTAGGACATGAATGTACCTCCGGGGTTCTCTGTGGACAACTTCAGAAGCCGCAGAGTGGGAAATGGTGGGGAAGTTCATCACAAGAGAGCTCTAGGCCTCCCAATTGGATATCTAAAAAATTTTTCAATGTGTATGCACAGCATTGAGCAATTTGCAATTATATCGGAGCTCTGTCCTGGGGGGGTCTCTGGACAGTTCCTGCCAGGGTCCTGAAACAGGAGAAAGAATAAAGGGGTTGAGGGCTCTGGGTGGCTGCTACTTGCCCTGAGTACAAAAGTATCTCCACATTCACCACCATGCCGCTAGACCCCAGCACCATCTCACCCCACTTGCAGGCTTTGCTCCAGCAGTGTGACTTAGATCTACTGTATGTCAAACAATCCAAGTGTATTTACAAAGGGGGTCTTGTAAAGTCTATTCTGTGTACACAAATCTTCTGGAGGGCTAGTAGCAAAATGAGCAAGGCCTGTCCAGTTGCTTTGTTATTAGCTTACAGATGCCTTTTCCTACAGTACATGAATCCAGGCATTAATAGGCCAATTTTTTCTAGTATAATCAAGTAAAGAATGGTAGTTATGAGCAGACCAACATAACAAGAAATGTACTAGCCCTTAGGTGCTTCCATTCTATTACTCAAAAATAAAGTTGCCATTGGGGTTATGAGTGAAAACTGTGCCCCCAAAAGACACTGGACAAGCAGAACTTTGCTGTGAGCAGCTTGGCACAAGACCCAGTTCAGTGTCATAAAATCAAAACAAGGGAGATTCTGAGTTTTAAAAGTTAGGAATAATACTTATTATGGAGAGAAGCTAAGTCCAGCTTGAAAGCTTGCTGTAAGGGCAAACGCTGCTGGTGAAAATACCCAACAGTGTAGCCACTGTGAAAACCAATACGGCAGTTCCTAAAAAAAATTAAACACAGAATTCTCATTTGCTCCAGCAATTTATTCTGTGTATATACACAAAAGAACTGAAATCAGGGGCCTGAACACACATTTGGAGGCCAATTTTCACAGCAGTATTATTAGCCATACCCAAAAGATGGAAGCCATCCAAGTGTCCGTCCATAGGTGAATGGAAGAGCCAACTGTGGCAGGGACATATAATGGTATATTGTTTAGCCTTAGAAAACAATGAAGTCATATCATCTGTTACAACACTGAAGAAACTTGAGGACATTATAATAAATGAAATAAAACACAAAAAAGACACATACTCATATTAGGTACCTAATTGAGTTCATAGAGATGGATGGTATAATGGTGGTTGCTAAAGGCTGGGGAGAGAAGGAATAGGTAGCTCTTGTATATGGGTAGAGTTTTGGTCCAGAGCGGTGAGAAAGCCCTAGAGAGGGCTGGTGGTGATGGCTGCACAACAGCATTGGTGTGCTGAATGTCACTAAACTATATACTTCAAAATAGGTAAGACGAGTAGCAAAACAAGACAGGGAAAAACCACACACTGAACTTAGAGGAGCGGCTGCACCTGTGCCTCCATGGCCTGTGGTCCTCAAGCCTGGGCAGGATCTCACAGCCCCACTGCACAGTCTTTTAGAAGGAGAAAAAAAAATTACTGGGATTTCATTTTATTGTCATAAAAACCATAACGGAAGCTAGTTAATCCCTTGTGAAACATCTGCCTTTTAGAGAGTTCTTCTTACTTCTGACAATAAAATAACTGATTTTGTTGAGCGAATTCAGAATTTTTTCCCTCTGTGTAAACTGTTTTACAAGCAATTTTTAAAAGCCTCTCAAGGCATAATTGAACTCTGCACGTAGGACTGAACATTTATTTTTCTCTAAAGGAGACATTCCCCAACTGGTTCCCTTTGGGTGGGATCAGTGTGGTTCAGTTCTCTGCGATCCTGGCTTTGAGCTGGGGCTTTCCCACTCACCTCCAGCATTTCCTGGATGATGACTTTCAAGGCTTTTCCCAGCAGGCTGGCTGGGAACCCACGTGAAAGTGGAGGGACATGGATGAGTGCCGCATGCCCGTTTCCATGATGCAGAGACAGGTAGTAGGTGTAATCGCAGACGTACCTGCATCCCCATGAGACACCACATTACTATAACAATGGTACAAATCAAACTTTAGGAAGAAAGGGGCCCCAAAAGGAGACCTCAGGCCAGGCCCCGGTGTGAACAACTGTTCAGCAAAGAGGGGCGACTTGTGCAGTGGCTCCTGGCCAAGCAGCCAGCTGGATAGTACAGGATGGTTTCCTCAGGGGGGAAAGGGAATTTGAAGGTCATCTCCTCTCCCCTACTTGATTAGTGCGCCGAGACCTGCAAAGCTTACCTGCCTGCATCTCGAGAAAAGATCACCTCCACATCCTCAATGGCAACGCGTTTGCAGACCGCCTTCATGCTGACCCTTGACACAATCACTTCCGGGCCACCAGACAGGCACACACCTCCCTCCGGCCGGAAGCCCTGGATGTCACCATCTTGGTAGCCATGGTTCTTGCCACATTGTTCCAGAAAAATTGCCTTGGCCGAAGTGTCCACACCCACATGCACAACGAGCTGTATGAACAAAGGCCATAGCAGAGAGATCACACAAAACCGGGTCATCAAGTGTGCAGAAAGGCCAAGCCCTGGGAAAGCAACTCAAGCCCCAAATCCACCATGAAACCCCAGGGGATACCCTGTCTGTGTACCCAAATTAATACAGGTGGAACGAAAAGCTGAATTCTTTCGACTAAATAAAAACCATATCGCATTTATATTTCAATACTTTTATATTCCAAAATATTTTTACAAGGTAATATATTCTCTTTTTTAGGGGGGTGGGGAAAGAAAGCAAGTTTGTATCTAAGACTACCACAGAAGTTTAGGGTTTCTATAGAAGCATCCATCTTTTTAATGACACTTTAATAAAAGAAGTTAGTGACCGTCCAATAAAATTTTGATAGAATGTCTTTGGCTGGATTATAGTTTTCTTTTTCAAAAATAGCTGCTGAGTATTTTATCAAAGCATTTGGAACCTGGTCTTAATGTCTTGGTGGTATATGCTTTATTAAACACATCACATGGTCTGGGGAGCAGTATTGGTACCCATGTTTATTGTAGTACTTATGTGCAGGTAACATAGGTTGGGTATTTGGAAGATGGGCCCTCGTAGGTAGACCACCCTCCCAACAACTGTCTGAGCTCAGGAGGTCTTTGTCTCATTTCAACCAACCATCCCAGGTGGACGTGTGTGGGATATAACCCAGGGCCTCTCCCTGAGATGCAAACTATCTTAAGTGTTGCCTGATGATGTGGTGAGGTGCACTTCAGCCATCAGCCCCAGAACTAGGGTCCCAGATGTTCTCAGGCTCTGGCCTCCACCACATCATCAGTCTACAGGCTCCACTACCTCTCTGGCCATCACTTACTTGTGGCTGAAAATCTTTCCAGATTCTGGTGACCCTCTGCTTCACCTCCCTGTAATCTACAGGCAGCTGGAGAGTCCTCAGCTCCACCTCCATGTCAGTCTCCAGGCCCATCTTGGAGAGCTCCTGCAGAAAGAGCTTCTTATGTTGGGGTACAAAGGTGAGTCCCAGAAACCCCAACCCTTGGGCTTTGCTCTCAGGGATCTTCTGTGGCCCTGGACCCTGTCCCTCCTATCCACCCACCCCCCCCCGCCACACACACACCGGATCACACAGTGTGGAGAAGCCAACAAGAGAGCCATGGTTCCTGCCCACTAGGGAAATGCCCCCTTGTAGCTGGCCCTGCCAATGCCCTAAAGGGGCACGACTGACTCAGCCATGTGTGAGAGGTGAGTTCTATGGACAGATGGGTGAGCCAGATGGAGAAGCTGGGGACAGAGCAGCCTGCAAAGGCAGATGGGAACAAAAGAGCACAGGGCCTTTGGGATATTTGGTGTGACACGATACTCTTGGCAGGGCTGAAGGATTTGTCCATTTGTTCTGTGTGTCACAAGAGAAAACATCCAGCACCCTGGACTCTAATCTGTGCAGGAAGCATCTGTAGCATCCCTACAGATTCAGATTCTTCATTTGAGGACGAATCTACCACCACCAACCATGGTGTAAGAAGGAGGAAAAGAAAGGAAAACTAAACTTAGGGAAGTCTGGAAGCCAGGTTGAATGCTTAGCCAGGCTTGGACTTATCCTTAGGGCAATAGGGAGCCATAGAAGGATTGTCCGCAGGAGGCAGTGAATCAGATCTGCCTTCTAAGAAGGTGGAGGAGGAGGTAGCAATGAGCTAGGAAGATCATGGGGTTAAGTTAGGACCTTCCAAGTTTGAAGTACCCAGGGGGAGCTGGTCCCTTGATCCCATGAGGCCAGAGCTTGTAGGGAGGCTTCTGAGAAGACATCAATGTATCAGAGGCAGAAAAAGCCATGGTTCAAATGACATCCACAGAGAGAAGCGGGGAGCAGTGAGAAGAGTGAAGGGCTATGCAGAATGCCTGAGTCCGGAGCACCTTCCTGCCCTGAAGGGCAGCAGAAATCCTTCTGGAAGAAAGCCAAGAGAATGACATCTTAGTAGTGTGCATTTCATTCTCGGTAAAAGTTCCACCAGGAACCTAAAGCTGTCCCCTAAAAGGCCCTGTGTACCAAAGTGGTCTTCATTTAGGGACTGCATTTGTCCTGTCTTCCATTGCTGCTGAGAAGGGCCTCCAGGACTGTGTATCCTTGGATGGCAGATGGCCAAGGAAGACCTGCTCACAGACCCCAGACAGGAGATCCGGCCCTGCCCTAGGCTGTGGGGTGACCTGCACAGATGTGGGGCTCCTGAGCTGTCCATCCAGGGATTGGTGTTTCTTCTGGCCCTTTTTTGGCATCTCAGCTCCATCCCTGAGCAGCTCAGCCTCCCTGCGAGGCTGTGCTCTGTCCGCCAGACACAGGCTTGACTCCCTGAACTGGCTCAGGCTTTGTTCTCTTCCTAAACACCAAGGTGCATATCACCGTTTGACTTGAGTGGGAGATCATTTGCCTGAGTGATGGTGGGAGACAGGAAGGAGGTCACAGGGACAGGAAGTCACAAGGAAAGAGGCCCGGAGGGCCATGCAGAAGGGAGACCAGCTTCCAGGTGGACTTCACAAGGACACAGGCCAAGGGTATCTTAGACAGGCTAAGTTTCCAATCCTGCAGTGCCATCATGGCCTCCTCTCCTGAGTACCACGTGAGGCTGGAAACTGGGGCCACACAATTCAGGGAGTGGGGCTGGAAGCCGTGATGCTGGTGTAGGAGGCTTTGGTTGGTCTCAGGGCTGCTTCTCAGACCCCAGGCTCCATGAAGAACTAGTTTCTCCTACTTGGTGACATTCTTCTGGAGTCTGTGACCTGGCTCTGAGCAAAGGCTACCGTGGTGCCCTGGAACCAGAGTTGCCTGGGAATCTGCTGTTTCCCGAAGGCCACCCTAGCTCAGTTGTCCGTGGAACTCCCAGTTACCTATGTTCAATAAATCCACAGAAGAACGTCACCCACAGGGTGGAGAGAGCCGCCCCAGCCATGTGGCCTGCTCTGTCCCTGAGCCCCGCTGGCCCATGTGATTGCTGGGCAGCTTCCTCTCCACAGAAGAACGCAGCTCCGCGGCTGGTGAGCAAATGTGCCATGTCCAGAGTGAGGTGGGCACCCCACCCCCCCCGTAGCCTTTTCTTTCCATCCCATCCCCAACCTTTGATGGGCGGGGACAGAAGCGTCTTTGGACACCTTGGAGATCCTCCTGCTGGTGGGAGCTGGGTTTGGGGAGCCCCTCCATGTTAGTCTCCTAGGGCTGCCACAGCAATGCACCCCACATGGGGTGGCTCAGAACAACAGAAATATATTGTCTTGAGGTTCTGAAGGTTAGAAGTCCAAAATCAAGATGTCAGTGGGACTGGGTTCCTCTGAAGCCTGTGGAAGGATCTTCCTTGCCTTTTCCAGAATCTGGTAGCTCCAGATGTTCCTTGGCTTGTAGGGATGGCTCCGGCCTCCACAGGGCATTCACCCTGTGTCTCTGGCCTGGTGTGTCTGTCTCTGTGTCCCAGTTTCCTCTTTCCGCCAGAACACCAGTCACATTGGATGAAGGCCCACCGCCATGACTTCATTTTAACTTGTTGGATCTATAGGCCCCTTCCCGGTGAAGGTCACAGGCACTGAGGGTTAGACTTCAACCCTATGTCCTAGGGGGACACAGTTCAGCCCACAGCACCTTCTCAGCCTGTACTTTCCAGAGGGCTGACAGCATCTCTCTCGGGAAAGTAGATACTGCAAGGGAGCCACCCCGTAGACCTTGCCGGCATTTAGGGACCCAATATGGGCTGAAGGGCACAGCACAAGAAGTGTCTTTTACCAGTCTGAGGAGCAGTGCCTAAGAGTCCTAAGAGGGTCCTGTTTGTGCTCATGACAAGTCTTCTGTTCTCACCCGGTCTGGGGCTGCCCTCCTAAGCACCCACATTGGTGTTTCAAAGCTGCCTGGTAGGTGGACTAAATTCAGATGTCACACCCTGGCCCACTTCGGCTCATGTCAACTTTTGCCACCAAATAACTTAGGAAACATGTCTAACATTGAGAGAGTAGCAGAATTTGGTATCAGCGTTGCCGAGAAGGGACCATGGACTGGGGTAAACTCAAACCTGTTCACCTCTGGCATATGAGCAGTCTGGGGGCAGGACAACAACTGTCCTTCACTAGATGCAGACCTCGCCTATCTTCTGGCCAAGCTACTTGGATGGCTCTTAGGGTCTGTGACCATCGTGAGGCCACCAGGATGAGCCACTGGCTGTTGGGGATGCTATGGCCTGAATTGTACCCCCAGATTCATGTGCTGAAGCCCTAACCCCCAGTGGAATGGATTAGGTCCTTTGGGAAGTGATGAGGTTAAGTGATGAGGCTGGGGTCCCCATGATGGGATTAGTGTCCTCATAAGAAGAGGCGAGACAGGAGCCTTTCTCTCTCTCACCAGGTGAGGTGCAGCAGGATGGGAGGGACTTGCTAACAGGGCAGAGAGCCCGCACCAGGATCCAACTCTCCCAGAACCTTGATTCAGGCTTCCAGCCTTCAAAACATGAGGAGTCCCTGTCTGCTGTATGAGCCACGCAGCCTGTGCAGTTCTGGCCCAGCAGCCCCTGCAGGCTGAGACAGGGCTTCCAGACAGTCTTGAGATGAGACCTGGCCGGGTTTCAGAAATGGGCCTGCTCAGCCAACCTGCACATCGTTCAGCTTCAGAGGGCCACAGCTGATCTGCTTGGGAGATTGAAGGACTTTTCTCAACCTGATACCACCTTGATAGCATGGAGAGAGTCACTAGGTTCTGACTCCCCTGGAAACTCCTCTCTCTCTCTCTCTCTCCACACACACACACACACACACACACACACACGTGTCCTAAGCCATTAGCATTGTGTTCTAGGACACACTTTACAAAACTGAGCCAGGGCTGGTGGTCGTTCTGAGCCTGGATTGGGTGGTGCCAGGCAGATGGGGCACATGCAAAGATGGAGCCCAACTGTATTGCTGCAGGCAAAGGCATGGGCTTTGAGCTCAGAAAGACCCAACTTGCAACCTGGGTCTAGCACCCTGCACTGGGTTAAGTTAGGCCTGTCATTGAACTCTGCTGTTCCTCAGTGTTCTCATCTATGCAATGGGGATAGTAAAAGTCAGAGGAATTTTCATGAATTTTAGATGAGATGATGCAAAAATACTTTGTGAATTTTAGATGGCATACAGTTGTTGGACCTTTGTAGGAGAGCGGGGTGATTACAATGAACCCACATTAACTTGAGAAAGTCATGCAAGATGGATTCCTTGAAAGTGATATTTATTAGAGTATGATGAGCGTGGGCCCAACAGAAGCAGTCTGAACATTCTGCACCGGCCTGTGGGCCACTGGCTGCCACCACCACTTCTGCTGAGAAGGCCAGGTGGCTTCAGCAAAGGGAATGTGGTTCTGTGCAGAACTGGAGTCAGGCAGGGTCTGTGCTTTCCGAACTGGCACTTGCTTGGCTAGAGTTGCAGTCTTTTGTGCTAAAAAGATGAAGAATAGTGCCTGGCATAAAGCTGCTCCCCAGAATGAAACCCAGCATATTGTGCTATCGGGGGCATGACCAAGCCCAGCAGGGTGCTCAGCGTCCGTGCCCAGCCCACAATGCCTCAAAAAAGCCTGAACCACACCAGTTGCAAAAGTCCTGGGGTGGCAGGGAGCCCCTCTTTCTGCCTCTTTTTCTCTCCCACTCTTCCATCTTCCTCATTGTCCAAAATCTGGTCGCCAGGAACACATGGCCGCTTCCCAGAGGGAGAGAGGGAAGGAAGACACCAGTTGCTCTCCAAATTTGCTCAAATCCACTGAGGCTGTGGCACCAGCAGGTGTTGAGAAACAATTGCTGTTTTTCCAAGATCTGATTCTTGAGCTGGTGCAGCCCCAGGATGCAGGAGGGAGCTGCCTCACTCAGGGGGTGGAAAAAGCACCTCAAAGGCCTGAAAGCTCTCTCTGCTCGGGACTCAGCACCTCTCACACTTGGAACAGAAGTAGGAGTAGCAGCCACTGTACTGGGCTGCAGAGCCTGAGAG